CGTAATTATCATTTTTGTCCTTATAATTCTTCAAACTTTCTCATCTAAGATCATTTTCATCACGTGTGCAAAACCTCGAGGCAGTTTGATAGACAGACTGTTGTTGTAGTCAAGACCAGACTAATCAAGAACAAGACCAGTCCAAGACCACAGGGTCCCGAGGCCGAGACAAGACCAAGGCTTTTAAAGGTCGAGACCGAGACAAGACCGAGACCACAGGGCCGCACACCGGAACAAGTTTACTGCAGACGGAAGCAGGCGTAATAAACTGTGATTGTACTCGCTGAGAGTCAGACCTCGAGTCCGAGACAAGACCGAGTCCAAGCGCCTTCAAAACCGAGACAAGACTGGACCAAAATGCACCTTCAAGACCGAGACAAGATCGAGTCCAAATCCACCTTTGAGACCGAGACAAGGCCGAGTCCAAGCGCCTTCAAGACCAAGACAATACAGAGAAAAGACCGAGACAAGACTGAGTCCAAATGTGCCGTTAAGGCCAAGACAAGACCAAGTCCAAGCTCCTTCAAGACTGAGACAAGACCGAGTCCAAAGCGCCTCAAGACCGAGACAAGACCGAGACAAGACTGAGTCCAAGCTCCTTCAAGTGACCGAGACAAGACCGAGTCCACCTTTCAACCGAGACAAGACCGAGTCCAAGCGCCTTCAAGACCGAGACAAGACCGAGTCCAAATGCTTCTTCAAGACTGACACAAGACCAAGTTCAAGTGCTTTCAAGACCAAGACAGACCGAGTCCAAGCTCCTTCAAGACCGAGTCCAAGCTCCAAGAGACAAGACGAGTCCAAGCACCTTCAAGACCGAGACAAGACCGAGTCCAAGCGCCTTCAAGAAGACCGAGTCCAAGCACCTTCAAGACCAGTCCAGCACCTTCAAGACCGAGACAAGACCGAGTCCAAAGACGAGACAAGACCGAGTCCAAGCTCAAGACCGAGTCCAAGCTCCTTCAAGACCGAGTCCAAGACCTTCAAGACAAGACCTTCAAGACCGAGACAAGACCTCCAAGCTCCTCAAGACCGAGTCCAAGGACCAAAGACAAGACCGAGTCCAAGACTCCAAGCTCCTTCAAGACCGAGACAAGCCTGAGTCCAAATGTGCTCAAGTCTGAGACGAGACCAAGAGTGTAAAAAACGAACTTGAGGCCGGTTTCGAGACCAAGTCCGGTACTATCTGTATTGGGGAAAAACAAAAATAAAACAAAATTAAAATTAAAATTAATCAAAATAGTTGATCAAAATGTAAATAATTCGATGTCTTTAATGCAAACGTTTGGCCTAAGTGGAAAATAACAGCTGAAAATGAACTAGATCTGTTTTTTTTTCCCACATGGTTTTAAAACTGTAAAAATCCCGTACAGTGTCTTTAAATGTCCAGGCCGTCCTTCGTCTCCGCTCGTCTCTGGAGGTCACTGCGACTGGAAGCAGGAGACGGGGAGTGTTCCTGCTAATGCACTAATGCTCCTCAGACGCTGGAGCTCGGTGCTGGATTCAGACCAGTTCCAGGAAGCGGCTCGAGCTCGTCTGGAGTCTGCAGCCCCGATCGATGTGAGTCCAGACACACAGGTTGTGCTCCACTAATGCACCGCGCTCACAGCAGCTCAGGGACCGGCTGAAATACAACAGATATTTTTATGATAAACATTTACTCCCTCAGCTCAGGACCAGGATACATTTATGCTCTGGTTAAATGTGAAGGTTTTTAATCAAATGGTTTAATTTCCAAATGTCTAAATTACAATCGAAATATCGATGTTTTTGTTTGTTTTATTTTGGGACATGCTTCAAATGGGGCATGAAATTCCGTTGTGTTGGTGTTTATTTCAGCATTTTGCACATAGTCGGGAAATTTGGAACCAAGAATCCTGACATGACGAGGAAAACAGCTGGACCCAGTCCAGCAGAAGTAAACAACAAGGATAAAACTTCAAGTTAATTCATCTGATATAAAACAGTATTGAACAGATACATATGTACTCTAGTTTATCAAACTGTTGACCTTTTTTCTGGACCATTTTTGGTTCTAAAGTTCCATCTGTTTTAAACAGACCATGAATGAAACATGGAACAAAAATTATTTCCCAAATTTCAAAGACCCAAAAATCATGTAATTAAATGTTTGTATTTCATCATATCTTGTGTTATTCCATCTTTGAACTGTTGATGAAGGGACAGGATAAAAAAAAAAAAATTTATTTAAAATGATAAAAATGTTCTTGGAAGGACTGACATATTTTATAGAAATAGTTTCCTTTCATTTTGAAGTAATATTAAAGTTTTCAGGAAGAAAAAAGCGACAAATGATGTAAAATCCTGCACCTTCTACTTGTTTGTACAATTTTCCCTCCGTTACTTTTCCCTCCGTTACCATGAACTTTCTTAATAAAAAATCTCATGAGTCAAAAAGTCAGAGGTTTTTCAACCTAATCTTGTACCATATGGTAGAAAACTATATGAAGCAAATATTCAAACCAGTTTGTTAAGGATATGGAAGTGAGAACCAAGAGTTATCACTGTTTGGATTTATTGACCAAAAAGTGCTGCATATTTCATTCCCTCCGTTACCGACATGAGTTTTTAAATTTTTTGTCTTGAACTTGAAAGAATCTCACAGGTTTAACTTGACCCTGTTGGAGTGTAACTCTTTCCTACATTCTGATACTTTACTTATTTCAATAGTTCCTCTAGTTTCTGAATAAGAGACATTTGAATGTCAAAAATCTGACCCTGTTTCTCTTTGTTGTGGCTTTAAATCCTCGATCTCCAGAATCGTTGACAACACAGAATGTCCGTCTTCGTTTACATCCGTCTCGACACTTTGTTTACTGTTGTGCTGTTCCACAAAAGGGACACAGACAGAAGCCACCAGTTTGACGTCAGGACTTCACAGCTCACAGCTGATTGGACGGTGTGTGGTCCACAGCTTCTGGGATTCTTGCAAACTGTCTGGTGTTTTCTGATTCCTGGCGTAGTCGCTGGAGAGAACTGGGTGGCACCAGCCTGGCTAGTTAAATATTGATTATTGTACTAACTCAATGAACTGTGTGGCCTCTAGTACAGCCTGTTGTTATGTCATGTCCTCTTTTGTTTATATTTTAAAGGATTGATTAAACAGAAAGTAGTTAGTGCAGTTACACACACTGTCACATAGAGGACGCCACAGAGCACACAGACGATAAACTGGGGTCAGGTGAAATGATCCAGGTGAGGTTTGTGGCTCCTGGTTTGGTGTTTAGGCTGTTAGTTGTGGAGAGCTGCAAACACTCGGCCTGTGGAGCAAATGCAAATAATAAATGTCATTTCCAAGACGATATAATCTGTCTTTCGTTCAGGTGTGATCCAAGGTAGAAAAGGTTTCAGAGGGAGTCACTGTTTTTAAAATCAAGAGGTTTCGGCTCCGTTCGGGTCCACACAGACACTCGGCAGGTCTGCAGACATTCTACTGAAACATGCAGATGGACCTATGCATAAAACACAGTGACACACACAGGTGGGTCCACACACACAGTGAAGTGAGACACACTGTCACGTCTGTGGTCACGACTCAGATGTTTACAGGTAAATCTATGCAAAAAAGAACAAAAGTCATTTAGGTTGTGCCTCTCCACAAACCTGCCTCCTTCTGCTTGTGTCCATGGAAATGCTGTTCCTGTCATAATATTCCACAGAATGGCATTACACGTGTCTGTCTCCATGGAGATGTTCTGAAGTCTGAGTCACTTCCTGTGCCTCCTCCAGAAAGTGACACACTGCACCTTTAATAAACACAAATGAAGGATTGTGTGGACACTGTAGTGACACATTCAGGCCTGTGCAGATTCAGACACGACTCTAGTGATTCATAAAAATTCATAATTAAACCTCAAGCAAACGAACAGGCCTGTGCAGATGTAGTTCACCGTCACCTCAGTGAATCTGACCTGACGCTGCAGTGACCTGTGACGAGGAACATCATCGTTCTATGGTCTCCATGACGACCGGTCTATCGTGATGCTGTCTCCATGGCGACGCAGGGTTCATGTGTGAGACTCGTCATGCTCACGGTCTCACGAGTTCAGTCTCACCAGTCCACCGTCTCGGCGTTCGCCGGGGGAACATCGTTGCAGTGACAGGTTGAGGCGCTCATTAAATCAGGGGTCAACAAACTGTTTTCTGTGGGGGTCACGTTCTGGCTCCAGACTGTGACGGGGGTCGGGGTCGGGTCGGTCGTACAACAGAACTGTTTGACCCTGACGACACAGATTATATTCTTTGAAAAGCGCCACACTTTCTTTACACATCCTTCGTCCTCACGCTGAACCAAAAAATAATCACTCACTGTTTTTTGAAAACTCTTCACTCTCTGTCAACTTTTTGTACTTCAACACAAGACATTTTTCTGTCCTTAACTGCTCTACAGAACTCTGCGCGCGATTGTCACTGTTTGAGCTCGAGTTTGTCAGCGTGACGAAAATTCAACTACAAATTCGGCAGCAAATGCAAATTTATCATATAATTATTTAAATATGAATACTTCATGTAAATATAATGTTTAAAATTGAAAAAAAAAATACATAAATCAACAAAATACAAGATGCAGACGTGTTATTATTTGCCAAAAAGTAAATTAAAGTAAAAATATGCCATAAACCTTTGAGGATTGCCAGTTCAATTGGTGAGGGGCCGATCAAAGGGGCATGGCGGGCCGGAGTCAGCCCGCGGGCCGTAGTTTGATGACCCCTGCATTAGATTATGGTCTTATTCAGAGACACAGTAAAACAGGACACCAGATCTGGACAGAACGACACAGAGACGGCTTGTTGTAGCAACTATTTTTTTATTTTTTTAATCTTTGTCAGATATAAAAATCTTCATCTTTATCATACAATAACATCTTAGCATCAATTCAGAAAAGAGTTTTGCCACTAAACAAAAGGAGTTACAGCAGGTTCCATCCTGATGAGGTAAGCAGCTCAGCTTAGGCTTTGTATTCTCAACGACAGGCCCACATGCGCTCAGCCTCAGAGCCAGAGGGAGCCAGAGGGAGCCAGAGGGAGCCAGAGGGAGCCAGAGGGAGCCAGAGGGAGCCAGAGGGAGCCAGAGGGAGCCAGAGAGAGCCAGAGAGCCAGAGGGAGCCAGAGGGAGCCAGAGGGAGCCAGAGGGAGCCAGAGGGAGCCAGAGGGAGCCAGAGGGAGCCAGAGAGAGCCAGAGAGAGCCAGAGGGAGCCAGAGGGAGCCAGAGAGAGCCAGAGGGAGCCAGAGGGAGCCAGAGAGACAGGAATGATCCACTTCAAGACGCTCTGTGCAAGTTCTGGTCTCCATCCTCCATCTCAGATTATTATTATTTTTTCAACGACTGATTAAAATTCACTTTACTGATAAAAATCCTCTGTTTCAAGTCTCCACACTGGCTTCCGTTTGAGTTTCAGATCTTGTTTTCGTTTTCGCGCCTCCGGCCCTGAGGCTGACATGTGGCCGTGCTGCCCCCTAGTGCAGGCCGAGGCACAGTGCAGGGACAGGCCTGCCCCCAGAGGCTCCACACCTACGGCTGATATGTTCCAGAGGATCTTCAAGCGCACAAAGAAAAACAACAAACCGGGAGGGCGACGCTCGGAGGCGAGGGACGGCGTCCAAGCCACAGTAGAGGAGCAGAAGAGTTTGGAAAAGCAGCCAAGAGCGTTTCGGAAAAGAAGGAATAAGGTTGAACTTTTGTGGTGGAGGTTTGTGCCGCCTTCTCGTCTCCACGGAGGTTAGTCGCTTTGTCTAGAATCTGACCGATCTACCTCCAGTAACACGCAGAGTCAGAGGTAATAATCGAGTCCAAGTCAAGTCCAAGTCGTCTTGTTTGGAGCTTCAAGTCATTTCAAGTCTCAAAACCAAAAAAAAAGTACCAAATATAGTTTAGATTCTTGAATTTGAATGTATTTGTTTGGAGGATAAGCCCCTTGAGACGTGTCACCATCTCGTTTTCAAGGGGTCCTTTCCTTTTCTTGGTATTTATATGACTTTTAATCTAAATTGTACTTAAATATTCATGGTATTTGAGTATTTATAAAAGTTGTAGAAATGCAGATTTGTACTTTTTAAATGTCTTGACCAGAGTGTGAATTATTACGATCAGAACAGAAAGACTTCAGATTTTGTTGTGTCATCTGCACTGAAATGGAAGGATCACTTTCTGTGTTGTTCACTGTGTTTTAGTGTATTGTACTGAGTATTACTGTGTATTACTGTAGTACTTTTGAGGATACTACATCACAGTACTTCAGTTCCATCCAAAGTAAAATACAGAGAAGAGGGAGCGACATGTTCCAGTTTGTTTCTGTAAAATTTAGCGTCACATTTATTAATTGTAAAGAGAAAAGTGTTTTCTAAAAGCATCAAGTCTTCTCAAGTCAAAGGCCTCAAGTCCGAGTCAAGTCCCAAGTCACTGACCTTTAAGTCCAAGTCGAGTCCCAAGTCTTGGTCCATTTTATCAAGTTTTAAGTCCCAAAAATAGTGACTCAAGTCTGACTCGAGTCCAAGTCCAAGTCAAGTCCCAAGTCTTGGTTCATTTTCTCAAGTCTCGAGTCATCAAATTAGTGACTCAAGTCTGACTCGAGTCCAAGTCAAGTCCCAAGTCTTGAGACACTATTTTTAGGACTCGAGACTTGAGAAAATGAACCAAGTCCGACTCGAGTCCAAGTCCAAGTCTTGGTTCATTTTATCAAGTCTCAAGTCGTAAAAATAGTGCCTCAAGTCCGACTCGAGTCCAAGTCAAGTCCCAAGTCTTGGTCCATTTTCTCAAGTCTCAAGTCCTAAAAATAGTGACTCGAGTCCAAGTCAAGTCCCAAGTCTTGGTTCATTTCATCAAGTCTTAAAAATAGTGACTCAAGTCCGACTCGAGTCCAACTCAAGTCTCAAGTCTTGGTTCATTTTCTCAAGTCCTAAAAATAGTGACTCAAGTCCAACTTGAGTCCAAGTCAAGTCCCAAGTCTTAATCCATTTTATCGTCTCAAGTCCTCAAAATAGTGACTCAAGTCTGACTCAAGTCCAAGTCCAAGTCGAGTCCCAAGTCTTGGTCCATTTTATCAAGTCTCAAGTCCTAAAAATAGTGACTCAGTCCAAGACCAAGTCAAGTCCCAAGTCTTGGTCCATTTCATCAAGTCCTAAAAATAGTGACTCAAGTCCGACTCAAGTCCAAGTCAAGTCTCAAGTCTTAATCCATTTTATCAAGTCTCAAGTCCTAAAAACAGTGATTCAACTCTGACTCGAGTCCAAGTCCAAGTCAAGTCCCAAGTCTCAGTCCATTTTCTCAAGTCTCAAGTCCTCAAAATAGTGACTCAAGTCTGACTCGAGTCCAAGTCCAACTCCTCTGCTACTTAACGTAATAATCGAACGCTGCTCTCGTAAAAAGTACAAATTTATTCGTCTCTGAATCGTAAAAACGAGTAGAATCTGTCATTACATTTACCGAATTATACTTTATATTTAAATTATGTTTTACTGAAAGTTTTCCTTCCTAATTTCTTTTTATTTTCAGGTCAGAAAAAGCCTAAAAAAAGCAAAAATGATCTTTTAATAATACATAAAACTGGGAGAAAAGTGATTCAGCGAGAGAGTCACAATAAAATCAAACGGAGGCTGTAAATAGTGTAAAAATTCAACAGGACTTTGAAACTTTTGCCCTTGTCTCCTTTTCCAAACGGCAGAACACGACTGGATGAACACATCATATTTAGAATCATAGAAATCACAATTCACAAAATACTGGTGGACATGCCGCGTCAAGACTTTGTCCTTTTTCAAATCACCACGTTTGGGACGAACTCAACGACGAGCGGAACAGAAGCTGAACACGGAGCTCGACAGCGTTGGGAGAGAGGCGGAGCGCGGGACGCACCATCCCGACGCCAACGGACGCGCGGGAGAGTTTAGGAACGTTAAAATGCCGTCAAAAACAGACCCGGGTTATGTTATATTTTTGAATAACTCTGGATTATTGGGACGTTTGTGTCCCTCTAAACTCAAAATGCTTCCGTTTATTTGCCAAAAAAAAAGAGGTTTTTCAGTTTGAGACGAGCTTAAATATGTAAGATTTGTGGGTTAAATGTGTGAAAAATAAGAAAAAACCCCCAACTATTTTCATTCTTGGATGACAGACTGAACCAGGACTAAACCAGGACTAAACCAGGACTAAACCAGGTCTAAACCACATCTAAACCAGGATTAAACCAGGATTAAACCAGGACTAAACCAGGACTAAACCAGGATTAAACCAGGAGGATTAAACCAGGTCCAAACCAGGACTAAACCAGGTCTAAAACCACGTCTAAACCAGGTCTAAACCAGGTCTAAATCAGATCTAAACCAGGACTAAACCAGGACTAAACCATGTCTAAAACCAGGTCTAAAACCACGTCTAAACCAGGATTAAACCAGGTCTAAACCAGGTCCAAACCAGGTCCAAATCCAGGTCCAATCCAGGTCCAAACCAGGACTAAAACCAGGTCTAAAACCATGTCTAAACCAGGTCTAAAACCAGGATCTAAACCAGGTCTAAAACCAGGTCTAAACCAGGACTAAAACCAGGTCTAAAACCAGGTCTATACCCAGGTCTAAATCAGGATCTAAACCAGGACTAAACCATGTCTAAAACCAGTCTAAAACCAGGTCTAAATCAGATCTAAACCAGGACTAAACCAGGACTAAACTAAACAGGACTAAACCAGGTCCAAACCATGTTTGGACCTGGTCTAAAACCAGGACTAAACATTAAAATTTCAGTCCTGTTTCAGACCTGGTTTAGTTATGTTTCAGACCTGGTTTAGTTCTGTTTCAGACCTGGTTTAGTTCTGTTTCAGTCCTGGTTTAGTTCTGTTTCAGTCCTGGTTTAGTTCTGTTTCAGTCCTGGTTTAGTTCTGTTTCAGTCCTGGTTTAGTTCTGTTTCAGTCCTGCATTACATTTTAAGTCACGTAAACGGGAAACGCTATTAGTTTTTTTCCATTTTTCCAAAGAAATAATCTGATGAAAATGTATCTAAAAAAAAAACAAACAAAAAAAAAACAAACCACATTGTCGATCTACGTTTTCCCCACGTCCCACGAAACATCAAACCAGAAAACGCGACACCTCCTCCTCCTCCTCCTCCGCCGCCGCCGTACGCCGCCGTACGCCGCCGCCTCTCTCCTGGAGCGAGAACTTTCCACACGAAGCCACCGAAACATTTCACTGAAGTCCGTAGAAATAACAAACGGGAAAATGGGCGCCAGCGTTTTTAAAAAGAAGCCGAAGTTCATGCAGCAGCGCTCACGCACACGAAGACCGACGACGAACGCGAGAAGCCGTCGACACGTTCAGAGTCGAGAAGCGGCGGAGAGAAACCCGGCCCGCTTCACGAGGCATTTATGGCAGAAGAAGGATTTCCTCGACAAATTCGTAAGAAAAAACAGCGAGCGGCGGGTGGAACGGCGCCGAACCGCAGTCAGGGTCCCAACACTTTTAATTTTCTTTTTTAAATATAAATATCTTCTTTTCAAAATACAGTTAAAGCCTTTTCTTGCATAATTTTATATCAATACGAAAACATCCAATGGAAAATTTACTCAAATCAGTCGATAAGTTATGTTTTTATGTTTTTTTTTTTGCATATTTATATATATATTTATTTTTTTTAATCGTGTTTCAATCAAAATAAGTTAATTTTCGTTTATGCATATCAAGTAAAGTCAACATGCGGAATCCACGTGTCGTTCAGTCGTTCGTTTTTCAAAATAAAAGCAAAAATAAGAAAACGAAATAAATAAGATTTTTTTTTAATATTTGGCTCCAAAACTAAAATGAAAAAACAGATAAAGATTAGTTTTTTTTTCAGTTTTCAGTTTTGTGTTTAAATGAAAAATGGGAAAAATGGATAAAGGATTGAACCAGGACTAAACCAGGTCTAAACCAGGTCTAAACCAGGTCTAAACCAGGTCTAACCAGGTCTAACCAGGTCTAAACCAGGTCCAAACCAGGTCCAAACCAGGTCCAAACCAGGACTGAACCAGGACTAAAACAGTAGTGTCGGTATCAAGACCAGACCAGGACCAGACCGGGACTTGGACTGGGACTTGGACCGGAACTTGGACTGGGACTGAGACCTGGACTAAGACCTGGACTAAGACAGGGACTTGGATCGGGACTGAGACCGGGACTGAGACCGGGATTTGGACCGGGACTTGGACCGGCACTGAGACCGGGACTTGGACCAGGAATGAACCAGGACCAAACCAGTACTAAACCAGCACTAAACCTGTCTCAGTCCTGGTCTCAGTCCTTGTCCTGGTCCCAGTCTGGTCCCAGTCTCAGTCCTGATCAACTGACAGTCTACACAGCCGCAACTCCCGGTTCAGTCCCATTTTAGTCCTGGTTTAGTCCTGGCTCAGTCCGTTATCCATTTTTTCCATTTTTCATTTAACCACAAAATCAAAAACTGAAAAAACACATTTTATTCAGTTTTTTTCATTTTGGTTTTAGAGACAAATAATGAAGAAAATTGTTGTTTTTTCATTTTCTTATTTTTGCTTTTATTTTGAAAAACAAATGAACGAGCGACACAGGGATTTTGCTGCACAGTGCAATTACAAGGTTTTGGAAAAAAACAAAACAAAACGTCATCTATTTGATTTTGAAAGTAAAAACCTTTGAACTATTTATCATAACCATGCGTTTCCAAAGTCGAAAAATACTAAAATCTCTTAAACTTTTGCCTTTGCGGTGGAACTCTGGGCCGTGCCGTCAAGAAGCGACAGCGAGTTTTTTTTTTTTTTTTTGAAAATCCGAAGATCGATCAGCTTTTACGAGAAGAACGAAGAGACCGAAAAAGAGACAGGCGGACAGACGAGCGTGCAGCAAGCCACCGGCACCAATCCAGCGACCACGACGAGTCACGAACGACAAAAAAAAAAAAGAAAAGAAAGAGAACATGGCTGTGTCCACGGGTGCTGCTGTGGCCCATGCACCACCGCACAAATACATTCAGGTTCCGACGCCTCCCGTGGCCTCCCGCAGGACCTCCGGGAGCGAGGGGGGAGGGGAACAGAGGAGGGGGGGGGGGGCCACAGGTTCCTTGGCTGGTATCGGGGGGTGCACGTGGCGGCGCCCCCCACAGTGAGCCCGCGGGAGGACAGTCTCTACAGGGAGGTGGAGGGCAGCTTCTTGACGCGCCGCTGGGCCAGGAAGGAGCTCTGGATGGGCTTGAGCTCCGGGGTGGGCTGGGAGTTCTTCAGGGCCGAGTATGTGGCCGCCATGGCTCCCTGGACACACGGACACAACGGTCAGAGAGTGTTTTCATTTTTTAAAGTTATAGCATCTTTAACTTGACCTTTGGGCCCGGTTCAGCAGAAATAAACAACAAGACCAAAAATTCAAGTTAATTCATCTGATATAAAACAGTATTGAACAGATACATATGTACTCGAGTTTATCAAACTGTTCACCTTTATTCTGGACCATTTTTGGTTCTAAAGTTCCATATGTTTTAAACAGACCATGTAATGAAACATGGAACAAAAATTATTTCCCAAATTTCAAAGACCTGAAAATCATGTAAATAAATGTTTGTATTTCATCATATCTTGTGTTATTCCATCTTTGAACTGTTGATGAAGGGACAGGATTTAAAAAAATAAAAGTATTTAAAATGATAAAAATGTTCTTGGAAGGACTGACATATTTTATAGAAATAGTTTCCTTTCATTTTGAAGTAATATTAAAGTTTTCAGAAGAAAAAAGTGACAAATGATGTAAAATCCTGCACCTTCTACTTGTTTGTACAATTTTCCCTCCGTTACTTTTCCCTCCGTTACCATGAACTTTCTTAATAAAAAATCTCATGAGTCAAAAAGTCAGAGGTTTTTCAACCTAATCTTGTACCATATGGTAGAAAACTATATGAAGCAAATATTCAAACCAGTTTGTTAAGGATATGGAAGTGAGAACCAAGAGTTATCACTGTTTGGATTTATTGACCAAAAAGTGCTGCATATTTCATTCCCTCCGTTACCGACATGAGTTTTTAAATTTTTTGTCTTGAACTTGAAAGAATCTCACAGGTTTAACTTGACCCTGTTGGAGTGTAACTCTTTCCTACATTCTGATACTTTACTTATTTCAATAGTTCCTCTAGTTTCTGAATAAGAGACATTTGAATGTCAAAAATCTGACCCTGTTTCCTCCGTTAACACTTGACTGGACCCATAGATAAAAAAAATATAAATTTGTTATTTTGTATTAGGCTATATGTTTAACATTTTGTTTGCACAGACACATTTTTATCATGTTAAATGTACAAATATCCCTTTATTTGATTGGCTGGGCTGGAGTGAACTGTGGCAGAGCCTGAAGTTTAGAGAAAATGTGACATCAGTTCGTTGCTTCTGCCCTTGACTTTACATTACAGCCCTGACGTGTGAGTTGGGGGCACAGGATGGGGACGACCTCAAGTCAAGTGACTGGGTTTGAATAAACGTTTATTACACACCGGACCTATTGTGATTCAGCTGCTCACTGGCACCATGTTCCTGCCACAGGCTCATGAAGAGAAAAGAGCTGTGTGCTGTACAGTTATGGTGAGTTCAACTTCAGGTCAAAGTGCTTCCTGAACAGATTTTAGGGAGTAACATGTCTTCTCTTCTCTTCCTGAATATATAAAGGGTGTCCCCAAAAAACAATTGACATCATTTCATGGACCAAGGACTAAAGGAACTGGAGAATCAGCACCAACATGATCACTGAGCTAGACTTAGTAGTTTTCAAGATAACTGCTTTTAAAATTATGTCCAATTTTCTGTGACACCCTGTAAATATAAATATAAATATAAATAAACACATGCCCCAGTCTTGTATGAACTGTGCCTTCTGTTAGATCTTTCTTCTGAGTGTGTGAGGTGATCACCTTGACCAGGGAGGGGTCCTGGTGGGGCAGTTGGCTGTTGGGCAGCTTGTCGCGGTGGATGATCCAGGGGTGTCTCAGCACCTGTTTGGCCGTCAGCCTCTGGTGAGGATCCACGTGCAGCATCTTTGACACCAGGTCCTGGAGGAGAACATGTAGAGTCAGATCAGGCCCTGTTCATGTCTGATCGTAAAGTCTCTCATACGCTGTAAACACCAGGAGCCACCAGGAGCCACCAGGAGCCACCAGCTGCTGCTTGAGCCTTTGAATGGCTCCTTAACAAATTGGATACAATTTTTTTGTGTTGCTGTATCGAAATTATTTTTTAGTTTGATCATTTTAATGTTAGAATTGTTCATTTCTACACTTCAAACACTGTAAACAAACTGTAGAAGAAGAGGGACGGACATGAAGGAACAAATGTGGCAAATGGAAACTCATAAATAATATTCTGATATAACAGACTGGAAAAGCAATAAAACCAACAGATTCGCCCGGAAAACCACCACACCCCTGCCGAAAAAACAACTTCTGCAACAGCAAATAATTTCCAACTCCATGCAGGCCTAAACCGGGACTAAACCAGGACTAAACCGGGACTAAACCAGGACTAAACCAGGACTAAACCGGGACTAAACCAGGACTAAACCGGGACTAAACCGGGACTAAACCAGGGACTAAACCAGGACTAAACCGGGACTAAACCGGGACTAAACCGGGACGGACTAAACCGGGACTAAACCGGGACTAAACCGGGACTAAACCAGGACTACTCTTGGACTTGAGCGAAAGGGAAAACTCTGAGCCTGTGGAGCAGGGAGTCCCAAAGCGAGGATCAGGCGACGGCTGCGTTAAGCCCCGTGAAGTGCAGAGATCTGCTCAGGTCCTTTTGCCTGTGGTCACCTGATGGTCACAGGCAAACCTCTGGGCCCGTCCAGGACTAAAACAGGAGTAAAACAGTCCAGTTTTAGTCCTGGTTTAGTCCTGGTTTAGTCCCGGTTTAGTCCTGGTTTAGTCCTGGTTTAGTCCCGGTTTAGTCCCGGTTTAGTCCTGTTTAGTCCTGGTTTAGTCCTGGTTTAGTCCCTGGTTTAGTCCTGGTTTAGTCCTGGTTTAGTCCTGGTTTAGTCCTGGTTTAGTCCTGGTTTAGTCCTGTTTTAGTCCTGGTTTAGTCCTGGTTTAGTCCTGGTTTAGTCCTGGTTAGTCCTGGTCCTTTTAGTCCTGGTTTAGTCCTGGTTTAGTCCTGGTTTAGTCCTGGTTTAGTCCTGTTTAGTCCTGTTTAGTCCGCACGTGTCGTTGATTCGAGTCTCACCTACTGAAAACTGCTGATTTAGAACATTTAGATGCTTTTTTTTCCTGCACGTGTCGTTTCCAATCAGTTCTCAGTTCATCAGATTTATCATTGTGAGAATTCATGAGTGAATTTATATAACACACACACATTATAATATATATAACACACACACATGATAATATATATAACACACACACATGATAATATATATAACACACACACACATTATAATATATATATACACACACACATGATAATATAACACACACACACATTATATATATAAAACACACACATGATAACATAACACACACATGATAATATATATAACACACACACATGATAAATATATAAACACACACATATATATAACACACACACATATATATAACACACACATGATAATATATATAAACACACACATATAATATATATAACACACACATTATAATATATATAACACACACATTATAATATATATAACACACACACATTATAATATATATAACACACACATTATAATATATATAACACACACATGATAATATATTAAACACACACACATTATAATATATATAACACACACACATGATAATATATATAACACACACACACATTATAATATATATAACACACACATTATAATATATATAACACACACACATGATAATATATATAACACACACACATAATATATATAACACACACATTATAATATATATAACACACACACATTATAATATATATAACACACACACATAATATATATAACACACACACATTATAATATATATAACACACACACTGTTGGCACTGATGAAAGAAGCTGCACATTGGCTAAATAAGCAGAGGACAAAGCGGGACAGGGACAAAGACAGGGCCAGGGACAGAGACAGGGTCAGGGTCAGGGACAGGGACAGGGCCAGAGACAAAGACAGGGCCAGGGACAGAGAGGGGGACAGGGACAGAGACAAAGACAGGGGGGACAGGACAGGGACAGGACAGACAGGGACAGGGACAGGACAGAGACAGGGACAGGGACAGGGACAGAGACAAAGACAGGGCCAGGGACAGAGACAGGGACAGAGACAAAGACAGGGCCAGGGACAGAGACAAAGACAGGGCCAGGGACAGAGACAGGGACAGGGACAGGGACAGGGACAGGGACAGAGACAGGGACAGGGACAGAGACAGAGACAGAGACAGGGACAGGGACAGGGACAGAGACAGAGACAGAGACAGGACAGGACAGGGACAGAGACAGGGACAGAGACAGGGACAGAGACAGGGACAGGGACAGAGACAGGGACAGGGACAGAGACAGGGACAGGGACAGAGACAGGGACAGAGACAGGGACAGGGACAGAGACAGGGACAGGGACAGAGACAGAGACAGGGACAGAGACAGGGACAGGGACAGGGACAGAGACAGGGACAGGACAGAGACAGGGACAGAGACAGGGACAGAGACAGGGACAGAGACAGGACAGGGACAGAGACAGGGACAGAGACAGGGACAGGGACAGGGTCAGGGACAGAGACAGGGACAGGGACAGGGACAGAGACAGGACAGAGACAGGGACAGGGACAGGGACAGGGACAGGGTCAGGGACAGGGACAGGGTCAGGGACAGGGACAGAGACAGGGTCAGGGACAGGGACAGGGACAGGGTCAGGGACAGAGACAGGGACAGGGACAGGGACAGGGACAGGGTCAGGGACAGAGGACAGAGACAGGAACAGGGACAGGACAGACAGGGACAGGGACAGGGACAGGACAGGGACAGGACAGGGACAGACAGGACAGGGACAGGACAGGGACAGGGACAGGGACAGGGACAGGACAGGGACAGGACAGGGACAGGGACAGGACAGGGACAGGGACAGGACAGGGACAGGGACAGGGACAGAGACAGGGACAGAGACAGGGACAGAGACAGGGACAGAGACAGGACAGGGACAGGGACAGGGTCAGGGACAGGGTCAGGGACAGAGACAGGGCCAGGGACAGGACAGGGACAGGGACAGGGACAGGACAGGACAGGGACAGGACAGGGACAGGGACAGACAGACAGGGACAGGGACAGAGGACAGGGACAGGGACAGAGACAGGGACAGAGGACAGGGACAGAGACAGGGACAGGGACAGGACAGGGACAGGGACAGGGACAGGGACAGGGACAGGGACAGGGACAGGGACAGAGACAGGGACAGGACAGGGACAGGGACAGGGACAGAGACAGGGACAGGGACAGGGACAGGGACAGGGACAGGGACAGGGACAGGGACAGGGACAGGGTCAGGGACAGGGTCAGGGACAGGGACAGTACCTTGGCTGCGTCAGACACACTGTCCCAGTTTCCTCCGGTCAGACTAAAGTGGCCGTTGCCGATCCTGTTCAGGATCTCGTTGGGCGTGTCCTCGGGGCCGTTGGCGAACGGAGTGAAGCTGTAACGTAAAGACGAGTTGAGCAAAAAAAAAACCATGAGGCTTTTCACAAGTCTGAGATCAGATGCTTCTACAACACATCTGCTGCTGTGCTCTTTCGCTTGAGGAGGTTTGTAGCTCACAGAATAAAAAATAAACACTCACAGATCCAGAATTTGAATAACCCAAACCCAAAATATTATATTCTCCGTGGTTGATTTTCAGGAGATTTTTAGTGGTCACAAAATAGTTTAATAGTACGAGAAGGAAGAAGAGATCAAGATGACCTCAAATACAACATTTTATTTTTTTTATTATTATATATATATTTTTTATTTTATTTTATTGTATTATTATTCTTTTGTTTTATTATTCTTTTTATTATTATTATTATTATTATTATTTTTTTTTTATTTATTTTTATTATTTTTTTTTTCCCCTTTGTATGCATGTTATATTTTACGTTTTATATTTAGTTAAGTCTGTCTTGTTGTGGATGTGCTGGGTATCCAATCCCTCAAACTTGATAAATTATTAACAACAACATTTTAGAATAAAGATAAGTGCATTTTAATAATACATAAATTCAAGAAATTAATAGTTAAATTAATAGTTTCTTAAATAAATCTAAACTGGCTCTGACTAGTTTGTATCGACACTGAGTTTATGACTAACGTGTTGTCAATAAAGTGATGAACTGGAGGTTTTTTATGTTCACTGAAAAGCTGAAACCACAGACATTTGTAGTCAATACATAAATATAAATGCGGAATAATGCGAAGAAGTGAGGACTAAACCAGGGTAAACCCGGACTAACCCAAGAGTAAACCAAGAGGACTAACCCAGGACTAAACCAGTACTAAACAGCTGCCCTCCACCACCGGAGAAAACTGATTTCCACTGTTTTCCACCAGAAGAAAAATACAATTTGTGTGAGGGCTGAAACCAGGTCTGAACTAGAACAAACCTAAGACTAACCCAAGACTAAACCAGTACTAAAAGAGCCAACATTTTTAGTGACTGGGACGACTGGAGTAGGTAAAAACCAGAACAAAACGAAGCCTAACTCAAGACGAAGCCGTAAACAGGAACTCAGTCTTGTGTATCAGATAATACTCCCTACAACTATACAACAACTCACCCTTATGTAACAGATTTTTTTTAATTTGACTTTGCCTTATTTGACACTAGCCTCTTAGTATTTTTACTACTTATTTAGAATTTATTATTGACATTTATATTTTGTGACGTGTGAGCGACTGTGTCCAAATAATTTTCCTTGTGGATAAATAAAGTTTGTCTAAATAAAGTCTAATCAGGAACATTGTACGATGGTAAAATCTGAACTAAACAAGGACCTAAACCAGCCGTAACCAAGACCAGACCAGACCAGACCAGACCAGACCAGGAGCCGGGATAAACCTGGATAATCAATGAACTAGACAAGGGTTTAAAAAAAACATAACTAAACTAAATCCAGAGCAGACAACAACCTCTGACCTTTTTCAGTAAGAACAGGCCTGACTGTATTTTAGTAGTTTATATCGACGGTGAGTTTACGAGTTTTTATGTTCGCTGAAAAGATGAAACCAAAGAAACTACACTGAGTGTGTTTACATGCACATCAATAACCCGGTTATGATCGGGTTTTTTGAGTATCCCGGTTTCTTCATGGTGCATGTAAACGCAGTAACCCGGTTTCAGTAACCCGGTTATGGCAGTGTCCCGGTTATTAGAAACTGGGTTACTGCAGCTGGTTTATTCCGATAGTAACGTGGATACTTGTGGCATGTAAACGCAGTATCCCGATTACTGCAACATAAAGTTGAGTCACATGCGTCCAAAAGACACTTTCCAGCCTTTCACCACAACAGTAGTGACATAAATAAATTGACCAACATAAATAAAGTGACCAAACGAGTGAAATGACTGTAAAATAAAGAGCTGCGCTAAACCTGCACATGTACAATCTGCACTCGTGTGACGCTGAAAAGCTAAAACATGAACTATGTCCTATCCTCTATACGCACGAAACACACTCACCATCATCAGCACCTCTTCTGTCACAGAAATAACACACATAATCCACAGAGTCGTGTCATTTAGTCCAAAAGAAACTGATCACATCAGCGGCGCAAGGAGCGAGTTGTTTTTATCGCCGCTAACAGTTTATGCTAATTAGCCAAACGGTCTTAAGTTTCGTTTCTGTAAAACGTAAACAAATGTGATCAGAGCTGAATGATCTGATCAAACGGGCTGATGTGTCTCTAGTGTTTATGGTTTATATGTTGTAAAGTTGAGTTTATTTATGCAGAAGATTTTAATGAAGAATCTGCACAGTGGATTGTGGGAGATCTCGTAGCTCCTTAGCTTCTTATGCTAAAGGAGCTCACGGTTTGTATTTTTCCTGGTTTATGAAATTGATTTAAGTTAATTTTTGCGCCTGCACATTTGTAAGATTATGTCAAGAAACCGGGACACTCCATTTGATCATGTACACGCGGATATGAGTGTCCCGGTTTCTCAGTGAACATGTAAACACAGTAACACGAACACTGACAGAACCGGGATATGGCTAATAACCGGGTTATTGATGTGCATGTATACGCACTCACTGAAAATACATTTTGTAGTAAATGCGTATATGTTTCGTGAGCAGATCTGAGCAGGAGACACTCACCCGGCCAACATGGTGTAGAGGAGCACGCCCAGACTCCAGATGTCACAGCCCTCGTCATAGCCCTGCCTCTTCAGCACCTGTCAATCAAACACAAGAGCGTTCATCAGAGCGTTCAGCAGAGCGAGCAAATCCTCACGCGTCCTGGAGTTTTACAGAGAGGCACAGATGTGGACGTCTGGAAACTGAGGCAGGAGTTTAGTTTATTTCTGGGACCCGGTGAACTTGAAAACTCAACATTACACGTTAGTTGGCGATTAAAGTGGGACTCTTGCTTCTACACAAGGAGGTTTACCGTATTTTTCGGACTATAAGTGGCACTTTTTTTCATGGTTTAGGTGTTTCTTGCGACTTATATATTAAAATGTTCAGACTGACAGCTGTGAGAGGCTCTAGTCTTGTGTGTCAGTATCTAGTACGACTATTACTCCTGCATTTCGCTCTCTACTGCGCATGTCTCCTGTAGAAAAAGCCACTGTCTCGCTGCAAATAGTGAAATATTCAGCTGAAAATGGTAATCGAGCAGCAGAAAGAAAGTTTGGAGTGAGCGACTGGGGAAAAGCGGGGATGGAGAACACAGCTTCACTGCTGAAACTTTCCTGAAGTCACTGGATGGATGGACAAAGCCTGGACTTCAGTGACACCGAAACCATCCTGTCGGGATTCAGAAAGACCCAATAATTCTAATGAACTGATGCTGAGTCTGACGACAGCGACACAGAAGAGTTTGCGTCGCTCTGTTTACCTCCGGAGGTCGAGGCCGAGTTGTTCAGAAGTGACACCGAGGATGAAGAACTGAATGGATTTAGTGATTTGGAGTGAGATGGAGAGTTTGTTAAACTTGTTCTGTTCTGTTGTTTATGTTATAGTTTATCTGAAGAACTGTTCATATGTGACGTTAACATATTAACGCCTGTTCACTCTGTTGTTCTCTGTTCTGTTGTTTTTAATAGAACTTGACTTTTATGATGACATGTCGGTTCCTGGTCTCTGATTTTATAAAATACATTTCCCCAAAAAGTGTGACTTATAGTCCAGAAATACTGTACATAGAAGCAAAGGAGGACAGGCCGGAGACAAACTGTCCGAGATAAAACGAGAAGAGTATTGCAAACAGCTTCTTGTAAAACAAATTGACCAAGGAAACTAATAATGTTAAAAAATCGCTGTCCCTGATTTGTCTTAAAAAATCCAAACATATTTTGGTCCAGACTTATTCCTCATTCTTCAAATGCCTTATACATTTATTCATTTCAGAAGTGCTCATCACAATGTTCAGAGATCAGATCAAAGTTTGGCACAGCAACAACTAGCATGCAAAGTGCACACCTCCTGATTATCAGACATGCTCTGATTAAAGGTTGTATAGTGGATTTTCCAAGGAACGAGAAATCCAGCGACTGTTTGTCCTTTTTCAAATGTTGCGCATGTGTGAAACCACCTCCCCTCCCCCACAGCTCCTACGTAGAAACACCTCCTCCCTCCTCCTCCTTACGCCACAAACAGGTTTGTTTACAGCTGCACATGACTTGTAAACAACTAACTACAGTGTTGGTTAGACAAGACGGAGAAGTGAGGAGCAGGGGGAAGAACGGAGCAGGGAGAGAGGAGAGAGGAGAGAGGAGAGGGGAGGGGTGTGCGCAGAGATTCCGTGCCCGGAGAAGTGAGGAGCAGGAGGAAGAGCGGAACGGGCAGCGGGGAGAGGAGCAGGAAAGGGGTGCAGAGAAGGTTGCGTGGAGATTCCGTGCGAATGAACTACTACAACACGCAGCAGCAAGCGGACTCTTTCTTTGCCTTGAAAATTACGTTTTCAGACACAGGATATCACATTCGTGTCCTGAAAAACGTTTGTCTAACTCTTGGAAATAAAGTACGTTTTCATAATAAGCAGAAGTTTCCTGTCCAGGAGTAATTTGTGGACCAGTGCTTCAGTCTTTAGACCCTTCGTCTGCTTCAGTCGCGCCATCGCTGGAATGAATCTTCAAGAATCACCTTAGTTTGGCTTCGCTGCTTTTCCCCTTGTCTTCTTCTTTCACGACCTCAAAAACAGGACTTTCTTTTTGCGGCGAACTGCTCCTGGATTCTTGTCGCCATCGCAACAAACTTTGTGTGCGAACTGCGAGGAAGATATAGGTCAAAAAAGCCGCTAAGAACTGTTGCGTTGGTGGAGTAAACAGCGTCTGTGCGTCTTGCGTCTGTGGACTGTGTGACAGTCGTACGTAAACCACGTAACGGCGGCGCAGGCAAGTCAGTTACACTAGAAACGTAGGGAGTTTGATTGACAGCCTGTCAGCTCACAGATAACGAGGCAGTGTCGTTATCTATTGGCAAATGTTTAGCCCCACCACGTCCAGAGTTGATGAATTTTTATTCTCTTTTTTTTGGTCATCATAATTACAAGGCGACTGCATCTATAATCTATCACTGACAATTTGAAAAAAAAAATCCTCCATACAACCTTTAATACAATTTCTCAAAAAGTGCGACTTAAGAGTCCGATGTGACTGATATGTTTTTTTCTTCTTCATTACACATTTTTTGGCTGATGTCCGAAAAATACGATAATCCTCACATCACTGACTCCAAAGTCCAACATTTATTAAGCGAGTTTTGCGTTTTGGGAGCGTGAAAGCAGCTGACCTCGGGGGCGACGAAGTTGGCGGTGTAGCAGGGCGTCATGAGCAGACCGTTGTTCGCCCGCAGCTGCTTCGCGAAGCCAAAGTCACAGATCCGGATGGACTCGGGGTTTCCAGACTCGTCCACGTACAGGATGTTACTGGGCTTCAGGTCCCTGTGCACCACCTGGACACAACACAAACAGAAACAACGACTTTAATACGCTCACGTTTTTCACACAAACTACCTTTTCAGAAGAGAGGAACTTAGGTTAGGTCGGGTCGCTTTATTCGTACCCGTAGGTAAATTTGTTTTGCAGATTTGAGAGGCAGGTCCCACATTTTAGGGAACTTTTAGTCTATTACTATCTAGAAATCAAACTACTAATGGTGCATTTACTTTACATACTCTTTATTCAAATCCATATCCATTTTACAAACATAGCAGTTTCCAAAGTGCTGCACAGAGATCAGAAAATGAACACAACAAAAAAGTAAATTGCTAAAATTTGTTGATACCAGTCCTAAAACAATAAAACCAGTAAAAGCAAATAAAAGCAAGACCATAAAAATCATAAAATAGCAATAAATAAGTAAAATAAATACACACAATAAAGACAAAGAGGAGCACACAACTCACGCGGTGTTAAAAGTCAGAGAATAAAAGTGGGTTTTAAGATGAGCTTTAAAAACCAACAATAAAATCTTTAAAACTCAACTCTAGAACGAACCGGAAGCCAACGCAACAACGCTAAGTTTGGGATAATGTGCTCACGTTTTTTTGGCTCCGGTTAAAAGTCGCGCAGCAGAATTTTGGACCAAAATTCTGAGCAAGAAAGTACGTGGAGGCCAAAGAAAAGTGCATCACAGTCGTCTAAACGAGAGGAGATAAAAGCCTGCAGTGTCGGGAAGGTGACTTTTCAAATGTAATCCCCTACAGATTACAGATTACAGATTACACACACCAAAATGTAGTTTGTAAAGAAACCTATTAAATTACTTAAAGTGAGTAATGTAATCTGATTACTTTGGATTACTTGATTTGTTGTAGAGAAAAAAAGACGAGAAAATCTTCACATAAGAAGTTTTGTCTGATAAAAGAAAATAAAAAGTCCAGATTTTACTGAACCAAATTAAAATATTATTGATAGAAGAAGAAGAAACACGTCCACACAGCAGGTTTAGTCCTGAGTTTAGTCCTGGTTTTAGTCCTGGTTTAGACCTGGTTTAGTCCTCCTGGTTTAGTCCTGGTTTAGTCTTGGTTTAGTCCTGGTTTTTAGTCCTGGTTTAGTCCTGGTTTTAGTCTTTGGTTTAGTCTTGGTTTAGTCCTTGGTTTAGTCCTGGTTTAGTCTGGTTTAGTTTAGTCTCCTGTTTTAGTCTTGGTTTAGTCCTTTTAGGTTTAGTCTTGGTTTAGTCTTGGTTTAGTCTTGGTTTAGTCTTGGTTTAGTCCTGGTTTCACTGCCAATAAATGACGCCAAGGTTGTTGACAGACTTAATACACACTGTACCACTGAAAAATGAAATAAATAAATAAATAAAATACATGGGCAGCAGATACGACATACAAATCACACAGTAGTTTTCATTAGACCAATAAAATAAATGACAACACCTCTATTTTACTAAATCAAATTAAACTTCCTTGAGTGTAAGATGTTCTTAATCCGTGTATCATTCGTTCATTCGTTTTTCAATATAAAACCAAAAATAAGAAAACGAAAAAACAACAGGATCGTTTTCCCGTTTACGTGACTTCAGTGACTGCGATGCCGAACTTTTGCACCGGGTACGGACTGAACAGGACGGATCCAGGTCCGAGACCAGAGCGGGACCAGAGCGGGACTGAGACCGGACCAGAGCGGACTCCGAGTTTTGACTCTGAGCCTCCGCGGGGTCCGAGCCTCAGCTTCGAGCTCTGGTCCTGCCGTGGGCTCTGAGCCTCCAGTCTGGTCCCGGTCTGGTCCTGGTCTTGTCTCGGTCTCGGTCTCAGGCCCGCTCTGGTCCCAGTCTGTCCCAGTCTCAGTAGCGCTCTGGTCCCGGTCTGGTCCTGGACTCTGGTCCATTTGAACCAAAAGCTCTTAGTTCAATTCATTTTCATTGGTGTGAAAGCGTCAGTCGGAGGCTTTGCTCCACCTCAGAACCAGCCGCGGTTCTTGAGCGCGGAGAACCAGAGCAGCTCTGTCCCGGTCTCAGTCCCGCTCTGGTCCCTGTCTGGTCCCGGTCTCAGTCCCGCTCTGGTCCCGGTCTGGTCTTGGACCTGGATCCGTCCTGGTTCAGTCCGTACGCGGTGCAAAAGTTCGGCATCGCAGTCACTGAAGTCACGTAAACGGGAAACGGCCGTTATCCGTTTTTTCCATTCTTCATTTAAACACAAAATCGAAAACTGAAAAAACAAATCATTATCCGTTTTTTCATTTTGGTTTTGGAGACAAATAACGAAGAAAACTGTTGTTTTTTCGTTTTCTTATTTTTGGTTTTATATTGAAAAACGAATGAACGAATGATACACGGATTGTTCTTGTATTTTGGTTGGAATTTTCTGTGTTGACGACAGAAGGACTGTATTTTTGTACTTTCGTTCTGAGCTTTTTTTTTCCTACAAACTGCCTCTTGACTGATGAAGCAACGATAAATAATTCACCAAGTCATAAAAAGGAAAAGTGCGCGTACCCCCTGAGAGTGCAGATACTCCACGGTCTTGGTGATGGTGTGCAGGACGGCGCTGGCCTCTCGCTCCGAAAAATACTTCTGTTTGAGGATCCGGTCGAGCAGCTCCCCTCCTCGCATCAGCTCCGTCACCAGGAACACCTGCTTCCCGTTGTCGTACACCTGAGGAAGAATGTGAAGAGGTGAGGACTAAACCAGGACTAAACCAGGACTAAACCAGGTCTAGACCAGATCAGGAGCCGGGATCAACCTGGAGAATCAGTGAACGAGACAAAGGTTTTATAAAAGCAGAACTGAAGTAAATCCAGAGCAGAAGAGCAAAAACCTCCAACTACATTTTTCAATAAAAGCAGGAGCAAAATGATACGGATATTAGACTAAACCTGGACTAAACCTGGACTAAACCTGGACTAAACCTGGACTAAACCTGGACTAAACCTGGACTAAACTAAACCTGACTAAACCTGGACTAAACCTAGACTAAACCGACTAAACCTGGACTAAACCTAGGACTAAACCTGGACTAAACCAGACTAAACCTGGACTAAACCCGGGACTAAACCCGGACTAAACCTAAACCGGACTAAACCCGGACTAAACCTGGACTAAACCTAGACTAAACCTGGACTAAACCTAGACTAAACCTGGACTACTAAACCCGGGACTAAACTAAACTGGACTAAACCCGGACTAAACCCGGACTAAACCCGGAACCCGGACTAAACCTAGGACTAAACCAGGACTAAACCTGGACTAAACCTGGACTAAACCTGGACTAAACCTGGACTAAACCTAGACTAAACCTGGACTAAACCAGGACTAAACCTAGACTAAACCCAGACTAAACCTAGACTAAACCTGGACTAAACCTGGACTAAACCCGGACTAAACCTAGACTAAACCTGGACTAAACCTGGACTAAACCTGGACTAAACCTGGACTAAACCTAGACTAAACCTAAACCTGGACTAAACCTGGACTAAACCTGGACTAAACCTGGACTAAACGAGGACTAAACCTAGACTAAACCTAGACTAAACCTGGACTAAACCTGGACTAAACCCAGACTAAACCACTAAACCTGACTAAACCAGGACTAAACCAGGACTAAACCTGGACTAAACCTGGACTAAACCTGGACTAAACCTAGACTAAACCTAGACTAAACCTGGACTAAACCTGGACTAAACCTAGACTAAACCTAGACTAAACCCGGACTAAACCCGGACTAAACCAAGACTAAACCTGGACTAAACCACTAAACCAGGACTAAACCTAGACTAAACCTAGACTAAACCAAGACTAAACCCGGACTAAACCAGGACTAAACCAGGACTAAACCCTAGGACTAAACCACTAAACCAAGGACTAAACCAAGACTAAACCAGGACTAAACCTGGACTAAACCTGGACTAAACCTGGACTAAACCCGGACTAAACCCGGACTAAACCTGGACTAAACCAAGACTAAACCTGGACTAAACCAGGACTAAACCTAGACTAAACCTGGACTAAACCTAGACTAAACCCAGACTAAACCTAGACTAAACCAAGGACTAAACCCGGACTAAACCTGGACTAAACCAGGACTAAACCAGGACTAAACCAGGACTAAACTAAACCCGGACTAAACCCACATGAGGAGCCCGTGTGCAGAGGCAGAGGAACTTACATCCTTGAGTGTGATGATGTTTGGATGTTGTCCATATCTGAGCAGGATTTCGATCTCTTCTGAAGGATCTGTGGCCGTTTTATCAATCATCTGGAAAACAGATTAACGGTCATTTTAACAACTTTAATACCATTTTATCCATTTTGATCACACTTATAAACGTTCAGAATGTGTGAAAATGCCAAATCATCCTGACTGTGTGCAGCAGAACAGGACACAAACCTGAATTTAAGTCATAATTATTTGAAAATATATGTTTTTATAGTGTTATTAACGCTAAATATAAGTTAATTAATACGCTGCATGATATTGCTTTAAGAATAAATAATGTCTACCTCATCTGTTGGACACAGTTCAGGTCTCAGGTCGTGTTTATGGAATTTAACTCAGAATCTTAGATAGAGTTTTAAACACTGCCATGAGTGAAAAGTAAAGCTGAAACTGGTTTTGGCAACTAAATCTAGGGCCGAGTATCATTAAGAAGTTGCCGATACGATACATACATCGATACAGTGAGTTTACGATTTGATACGATTCAGTACGATATATTTCAAGTTGATTCAATACGCTTCAGTAAAAAAATAAAGGCTAAATCGTGGCTCTGACACTAAAAGTCTTTGTTGTTTGTTGTTGTTGTCTTGTGCAAAGTTCATATGAAACGCACCAATTTTAATCATCAAAACAGTAAAAATGTCAAATGTGTCGCATAGACGAGTTTAGTTCCTCTCAACAAGCAACAAAACTGTAGCTGTAACAAAATTATTTAGTAAAATATATCCAAAAAATACTCTTGACGATATATCGATACAGCAGCCCACAATATCGATACTGTATCATCACATTAAACGATACGATATATTGATATTTCTATATTTTTGCACATCCCAAACTAAATCCAAATCCAGTTTATTTATAAAACACTATTAAAAACAACAATGTCGACCAAAGTGCTGCACACAGAGATAAAAACAGACGTATTGTTTTGTAACTATGACGACCTCCTAGAAAACAAGATAACGAGACATTTCAATGTCGTCCAAACAAATACATTTGAAATATATAATAGAGTGATAAATATATATACAACAATTACTGAACAGTAAAAGACTCAAAACGAGCTAAAGGCCAAAGAAAACAAGTGTGAAGTGTTGTCTGTATACGTTATAACATGCACTGTATTTAACTTTTTATTCTTACTATTGTTTTTTTTTTTGTTTTTTTTATACTATGAACCAGATATCATGTGTTCTTAATAAAGATTGAATTGAATTGAATTGTGAAACAGATGATTTAAAAGCAAGAAGAAAGTCAGCTTGTCTCATGTGAAGAGGCGACTCAATCCATATTTTTTTAGAATTTTGAAATTTTTAGAATTTAGGCCCAACAACAGAAAACGCTCCGTCTCCTCTGAGCTTCGTCCTGGACTGAAGAACGAGAGCAGAGTCTGATCAGAAGGTCTGAAGAGCTCAGAGGAGAGGACGGCACCAGCAGGTCTGCGAGGTGCCGCGGGACGAGGCCATTCAGGCATTTAACACAAATAAAAGTGTTTTAAAATCCACTCTGAATGAACGGAGCCAGTGAAGGGCAGACAGGACTGGAGACACGTGCTCGTATTTCTCTTTAACAGTAAACACATTAAAGGTTGTATAGAGGATTTTCCAAGGAACGAGAAATCCAGCGACTGTTTGTCCTTTTTCAAATGTTGCGCATGTGTGAAACCACCTCCCCTCCCCCACAGCTCCTACGTAGAAACACCTCCTCCCGCCTCCTCCTTACGCCACAAACAGGTTTGTTTACAGCCGCTGCACATGACTTGTAAACAACTAACTACAGTGTTGGTTAGACAAGACGGAGAAGTGAGGAGCGGGGGAGGGGGTGTGCGGACATTTCGTTCGCGGACGAGAAGTGAGGAGCAGGGAGAAGAGAGAGGAGAGGAGAGCGGGTGCGCGGAGATTCTGTGCCCGAAGAAGTGAGGAGCAGTGGCAAGAGCGGATCGGGCAGCGGGGACAGGAGCAGGAAAGGGGAGCAGAGAAGGTTGCGCGGAGATTCAGTGCGAATGAACTAGCTACAACACGCAGCAGCAAGTGGACTCTTTCTTTGCCTTGAAAATTACGTTTTCAGACATAGGATATCGCTTTCGTGTCCTGAAAAACGTTTGTCTCGCTCTTGGAAATAAAGTACGTTTTCATAATAAGCAGAAGTTTCCTGTCCAGGAGTAATTTGTGGACCAGTGGTTCAGTCTTTAGACTCTTCGTCTGCTTCAGTCGCGCCATCGCTGGAATGAATCTACAAGAATCACCTTAGTTTGGCTTCGCTGCTTTTCCCCTTTTCTTCTTCTTTCACCTCAAAAACGGACTTTCTTTTGCGGCGAACTGCTCCTGGATTCTTGTCGCCATCGCAACAAACTTTGTGCGAACTGCGAGGAAGATATAGGTAAAAAAAAGCCGCTAAGAACTGTTGCGTTGGTGGAGTAAACAGCGTCTGTGCGTCTTGCGTCTGTGGACTGTGTGACAGTCGTACGTAAACCACGTACCGGCGGCGCAGGCAAGTCAGTTACTCTAGAAACGTAGGGAGTTTGATTGACAGCCTGTCAGCTCACAGATAACGAGGCAGTGTCGTTATCTATTGGCAAATGTTTAGCCCCACCACGTCCAGAGTTGATGAATTTTTATTCTCTTTTTTTTGGTCATCATAATTACAAGGCGACTGCATCTATAATCTATCACTGACAACTTGAAACAAAAAAAAATCCTCCATACAACCTTTAACTTCACTTTGTCTTGGTGCTTAGTTCTAGTCTGATACCTGTTTAATCTTAACATACTGTACCTTGACTGCGTATTCCGTGTTGGTGACTTTGTGGATGCAGCGTTTGCAGACAGAGAAGGAGCCCATCCCGATATCTTCCTTCAGGACGTAGCCGTCACTGAACAGGAGGTTCTTCCCGTGGAGCTGCTGCAGGAGCACAAACCCAAACAGAGTCAGAGTCACAGTCTCTGCTGCAGCTGCAAAACTGGATATCGAATCTATTTAAACAACGCTCCAAAAAGTCAATAGTATTTATTTATTTTTTTGTAATTATTTCTTTTTCTTTTTTTTTTTAGTTGTATGAAAAAGACAAATACAATACAACCTGTGGGTGTGTCTTTGATGCTTACAAAGGATTAAAAGAAAAATAATAATAATAATGAATAAAAATTATTACAGCCAATTGTAAGAAAAACAAAGTAATGGGTCAAAGAAAGTCCAGTCTCAAAGTATTTATATATTCAATCCACTGTTTCCATTTGCTTTTAAATTTGTCTTGTTGCAGTCTTATGCTAAAAGTAATTCTTTCCATCTTAAAAATATCATAAACAATCTCAAACTGTTCATCCAGTGTTGGTACTTGTGGATTAAGCCATTTCCTGGTTATAACTTTCTTAGCAGCCGCACTCAAAATCTGGAACAGGTATTTAGTTTTATACGTCACATTTTCACCCATCAGGAAACCCAAGTACATCGTTTCAAGTCGAAACGGTTTGTCAGTCAGTCAATAGTATTTTATGTTTATAAAAACTTGTACACAGAGAGATTGCCAAGGTGCCAAGGTGCCAAGGACTTGAGAGCTGAAACTAATTAAGAGTGTGTACAGATCATAATCTGTCTGAAGCTCGGCGTCCTACACTTGATTAAACTAGTGCAGGAAAAGTTCAGTTTGGACATTCTGCTTCCTGTGGCACTATCATAAGTCGGTGGGCACATTTACACGGCCAGTTTGACAGTCAGATCACGAGAATAATGAAATAATCCAATAATTAGATCTGGTTTTGATGTGAGTAAAATCTGATCTGCAAACATCCAGTGAGACGTGTCAGTGAACTGGTGGATGTTTGACTTGATTAAGTTCACTATGAATATAACAGCAGCTGAAATATCGTGATATCGTATCATCAAAAGTCTCTCAATAATATCGTGGGCTGTAACATTATATCTTGAATCACAAGTTTCTTCGCTTAAACACGTGGTTTTAGAGAAGCAACAGCTTATGAACATCAGAAACTACATTTCCCATGATTCATTTCAGTCCAAACAACATGAAGAAACATGTTTTTACTTGAATTCTTGGGATTATGTCGGAAATAATTCACACCAAAATCTTGTCAAGGTATTTTAAAAGCAAAAAAAAGTGTCCCACCTCGCAATAAATATCGTACCGTGAGATTTGGATATCGTTACATCCCTAGAATTAACTGTTGTATTTGGAAGACAAAGTACAATTCACTTTAAATCTTTCAAGCTTTAACATTTTCTCTTTCATTTTTGTCTTTGCCACATTATTTTGGCCGTTTTGAATCTGTGTGTCATTCGTTCTTTTGTTTTTCAAAATAAAACCAAAAATAAATTTTCTTCATTATTTGTCTCCAAAACCAAAATGAAAAAAAAAACAAAAACAAAAAAAAAAAAAAAAACAGATAATGATTTGTTTTTTCAGTTTGGGATTTTGTGTTTAAATGAAAAATGGAAAAAATGGATAACGGACTGAACCAGGTCTAAACTGATCCCAGGACTAAACCAGGACTGGGTGTTGGGACGGGCCCGGAGGTGCGCCCGCGTAGACTGTCGGGTGATCAGGACTGAGACCGAGACCAGACCAGGACTCTGACTGATTTAGTACTGATTTAGTCCTGCTTCAGTCCTGTTTCGATCTTGTTTTAGTCCTGTTTCAGTCCTTTTTATTTATTTTTTCCTGTTTTTGTTTGTTTAGTTCCTGGTTTTAGTCCTGGTTTAGTCTGGTTCAGTCCTGGTTCATCCGTTAGTCCGTTATTTTTTTCCATTTTTTTTTCAATTAAACACAAAATCGAAAACTGAAAAAAAAACGAATCATTATCTGTTTGTTCATTTTGGTTTTAGAGACAAATTTTTGCTGTGTAAGGAAACACGTCCAGTCCGTCAGAAAAGCGTCCAGTCCCCCACACTCGTCTTTTCACTCGTCTTTTCACACGTCTTTAGACGCCGAATCAAAAGCAACAAACTCGTTAACGCTGCTCATCAGGGCCACAGAGCTCAAGCCGAGAATCCACAACGCGCTGCCAACTGTGAAGACGAGCGGCTCCATTATTCAACGGTTTTTATATTCCTCGTTTTTAGGTCACAGAGTCAAGCGGCTGAACAATGATTTGGCAGATTTTTATGCCAGATGCCCTTCCTGATATCACCTCCCACACTGAGAAAGACTAGATTTGACAAACTTCAAAAAGACTACGACATTTACATTTACATTTACATTTTTAGCAGCTCTTGAGGTCAAAATATTTCCATCGAGTACTGTGTATCTAATTATAGAGCATTGATGGTTTTCTAGGCCTTTTTAAAGTTTTTATTTATTTAAAAGGGACAATGCACATTCATAAAAATATACAGTACTTGTAAATAGGCCAGGATGCGCCCACAGCTTTTTAAAGTGATTCAAATGTTTTTTAAGTTTGTCATGTTTGTCAGTGACCAGTTTGTAGCGCAGTGTTCAATATGAGAAAAAAATCCTGCTGTGGAGAAACATTTAAGCTGCATTTTCTGGCAATGATGATCTAATTTGACTAAAGTTGTGAATATTAAAATATATATATATATATTTTAAATGTTTTTTACATGTTTTTTTATTTAAGTGGAGTCCAAGGTAACACCAAGACACTTGAATTCACTTACAAACTGGAGCCCCTCTCCCCTTTCATACGTCACAAAACTGCTTTAAGGTTTAATGTACAGTAAATGATCAATAACAAAGTGTTGTTTTTTTTGAGAGAGAGAAATGTTGAATAAATGCACCATGTAACCAAAAAATAATCGTTTGAATAATCGTGATTTCAATATTGACCAAAATAATCGTGATATTGATTTTTTTCCGATAATCGAGCAGCTCTAAAATGCACTTTATGGTTTTACTTGTGGAAAACTAATGACATGTCGAATCACACTGTCACTAGATATGTAAAAGTGCTTTTATCTGAACACTTTTTGTCTCTTCGCAGAAAGGTTTAAATACAGGAATTGAACCCAGGACTTTCTTACAGACAACAGTTTAATGGACAAAATCTACTTGTTAAAGCCTGTTCCCAAAGCAGGACTGGACCTGGTTTATCCTTGGATCCTTGGACAGATCGCTGGGAATTCCAGGTGCCACAGTGTGTAAATACTGCACAAACTTGTAATTGATGACTTTGAGCGTCTTGAAAAATGCTTTATAATACTAATGCATTATTATTATTATTGTTTTATTTATCCTTATCAAAGTGATGACAAAGGAGAAAAGTCGACTGGACAAAAGTTTGTTTGGTTGAATACGTTTTGCAGCTCATCCTTCTTCAGTTCTGAAGTTCAGAAGTTCAGTTTGTCCAGTCGACAAACCGATGTTTCTCCTTTGCCATGGATTCTACGTGGACGACTGAGGGATTTTTCACATTATCAAAGTGAATAAAACTTGTAGTACAGACTGAGTGACTCCATGACCAAATGCCCAAGTAATCCGCACCGTTCTATTGTGCAGGATTGTGTTTGGGAGCGTGAAAGCAGCTGACCTCTGGGGCGAGGAAGTTGGCGGTGTAGGACGCCGTCATGAGCAGCTCGGTGTTGGCTCGCAGCTGCTTCACGAGGCTAAAATCTCTTGAGGTCAAAATACGTCCACTGGGAGCTGTGTGTCTAATTACAGAACATTTCCTTGTCCGGTAATAATAAAGGTGCATTAACCTGATACTTGTTGTTTGTTTACTGTCACGGTGAAAGTCTCCTCTGATATCTCTAGAAAAGTGCACCACTCATAACGATGAATATTTCAGATGAATAGAGGTAAGTGAGGAAAAACTCTGGACAACTGCAAACTGTTTCAAATGAACTAGTTCTGTTTGTTTCTGTCAGGTACAGCACCTTTTATTATGTGGTTTATAAAGAAAAACATCTACGATTCAAGTTTATCATTCAGGATCTTCTTACCTGGACGACCGGGTGGGGCGTGGGCTGCGCTGGCTGTGCAAAACCCTCCTCCTCTAACAAGCTCGAAGCCACAAAACTGAAGCCTCTGAAGAGCTGGTGGGCTCCAGCGCTGGGGGGGACACCGGGGGAGTCTGCACGGAAACAAGAACAATAACTCATATATTTTCCGCGCCATAGGATGCGCTCTTAAGCCTCTAACCCAGTGGTGCTCAATACGTCGATCGTGATCTACCAGTCGATCGCCAAGGTCGTGTGGGTAAATCGCCGTGTCTCGTCTCGGACTCGCGTTTGGACTCGGTCTTGTCTCTCACTCGAGGTCTGACACTCAACAAGTGTGATCATATTTCATTCCGGCCGCTGCTGTTGGTAATAAACTTGTAGCGGGTGCAGGAGCGTGTGGGGCGTCTCAGTGCAGCCTGTGCGCTCATTTGAAACCCGCGGAGACTCTACGGCGCATCACAAACACACACGCTCCCTATGCACGGCTCGTCTGCGACAGCGTGTGCCCTCGTGTACCAGCGTGCATCACAGGGCAGGTTCAACTTCCTAAACATCCTACCTGTCCATCTGCCTCACGTCAGCACGCCGCCCCTCGCCTTTTCACGCTCTCGCTCCTTCCTGCGTACAGCCAACACAAGCCCCTCCCACAGTGCGGCTGATTAGAAGAACAAGACCAAACGTGAAGCAAAAACCAGTCTAAATTTGTGTTCCAGTGTTGGCACAAAGCAGGTCTACAGCATAGAGCGGATCTACAGAACAGACCTACTGCCACATTTGGCTGAAGTTTGTCTAACAAAAGTGACAAATGCATCTGTGTTTGTCACGATGTGCGTTTGGTTTGGTAAACGTGCAGAGGCTGGTAAATATCACTGCAAAACCACAAAAGAATGAAACTCCAGTTTGGAACTTTAAAAAACAGGTTTAAAAATCTTCCTTCACTTTTTTCACAGTTTTGTGTAAAGTGCCAGAGGAAGTTCTCTTAAAGAAGAGGTTCTCAAACTGTGGGGGAGGGTCCAAAAAAGGGGCACAGAGTGTTTCAGTGCAGTTTGTTTGGCTTTGTATTAGGTCGATCATTTTGACTTGGTCATTTTGTAAGTAGCTCACATGATGAAAAAGTGTGAACACCCCTGGTCTAACCCCATCAAAAAACGACCGTGCGCCCCACAATCCAGAGCGCCCTATACACTCATCACTCCACGCCGACGAGGAACGGAACGGAGGAACGAACCGAAAAAGCGACGAGCGCAATGTGCCACTTCTAGACACGACTGAACAACTGAGTCACTGCGAACACGCCGACAATCCGTTGGTCCCAGACACACCCTCCCTACACGCCACAACTGAACACACCCAGAGTCACCGTGAACGAACAACAAACAAAACCACTCACCCATCACACTGTTGGGTTTCCTTTAAAGTCCAGTGCGGTTTATTTGTGAAAAAAGTTAGAAAATAGACCATTTAAAGGTTGTATGGAGGATTTTTTTGTTCAGTTTCACAATGTCAGTGAAAGTTTAAAATTCCATTACAGAGACGCAGCAGCCTTGTAATTATGATGATAAAAAAAAAAAAGAATGAAAATCTATCAAATGAGGACGTGTTGAGGCCAGATAAACATCAGCCAATAGAAAACAAGGCTCCCTCATTTTCTATTGGCTGTTAGGTCGTCAATCAAACTCCCTACGTTTCTAGTGTAACTGACTCGTCTGGCGCGTGGGGATTACGTGGTTTATGCGACGGTTCTTAGAGGCTTTTTTAAACTGTCGCTTCCTCACAGTTTGCACAAAGTTTGTCGCGATGGCGGACGAGAATCCACGACCGGTTCGCCGTGAAAGAAACTCCGTGTTTTGATGTCGCTGAAAGAAAAAGAGAAGGAGAAAAGGAGCGAAGCCAAACTGAGGTGATTCTTGGAGATTCCTTCCAGCGACGGCGCAAACGAAGCAGACGAAGGGTCTAAAAACTGACGCGTCGGTCGCGAAAATATTTCTAGACAGGAAACTTCAACAGTAATTCTGAACGCGCACTGGATGTAAACAAATGTGATTTCTAGATGTTTCTACTGAGGCTGTGGAGGAGGAAGGTGGTGTCACACATGCACAACATTTGAAAAAGGACTGTCACTGTATTTCACTTCCCTTAAAAAATCCTCTATACAACCTTTAATGACAGTGCAACTAATAGTGCGGAAAATACGGTAAATCTTTACGATTTAAGGAAAAATACTAATACCCCTGTAGTTTAGACCTTTACAACTATTTTTTTTTTTTTAATGTATGAGACTCTTAACTACTCCATAGAGCAGTTTATCAGCTCATAGTTGGAGGCAATGCTATGAATCAACAAGATAAAGTTTAATCTTGATGGAAAAGTAATCTGACCTTTGATAAAATCAGGTCTCAAAGATAAAGTATGCAACCTGCACTCTGGTTTAAAAATGTTAAATCAGCATTACAATTATCAGTAAAACCCACATCTGATTCAGACATATTTACCAGGAAACTGTGGGAACATAGGTCTTGATTGTCAAATTTGAAACAAAAATCCAACAAACCCAAACCTGGATTAAACCCTGCAGAGATCGAAACTACAAGTCCTAGTGGAGAAAGACACTAAATGAAAAGTTTGTGCCCCTTGTTCGTGTTGGTGTTGGTGTTTGTGCCCTCTGACCTTTGGGGGTCCGTGAGGTAAACTCTGAGTCAAAGTAGAAGGTGTCGTCCGGACGAGCCACGGCCGGTCTGAACGGAGGCTTCACTTCTCGCCGGAACAATTTCTGAGAACAAGAGCAGCAAGTCAGAATCCACGAATCTCCCACGTTTTTATTTATGAGTTTTTAACTGATGAAAAATGTCTACGTAATATTTCTGAACCTTCCATGTGTGGTCGAAACTCTGAATTTCTGGAGGAATTTTCTGAGCACTTAAGCCTCGAATGTAAGACAATACAACATCGAAATACTTCTTTTTTTAGGCGAATGATGATGGAACAAGACAACATGTGTAAAAGTTCATTAAAGTTGATTTTGTAGATTATATCCAGAGTTGGGGATTAACAGATTACATGTACCGGAGTAATCAGAGTACAAATGATGAGTAACTGTATTCAGTTACAGTTACTGTTTCAGTGAGTGGTAATTGGATTACAGTTACTTTGTTGAAATAAATGGATTACATGGCGGGATTTTCCTGTTTTTACATTTTGGGCTAAATCCCCCTTTTCTTTTCTTTTTTCCGTAATTCTACTCATTGCCGGACAATAAACCAGGTCTAAACCAGGTCTAAACCAGGTCTAAACCAGGTCTAAACCAGGTCTAAACCAGAACTAAAACCAGGTCTAAACCAGGTCTAAACAAAGTCCAAAACCAGGTCTAAACCAAGTCTAAACCAGGTCTAAAACCAGGTCTAAACCAGGTCTAAAACCAGGTCTAAACCAGGTCTAAACCAAGGTCTAAAAACCAGGTCTAAACCAGGTCTAAACCAGGTCTAAAACCAGGTCTAAACCAGGTCTAAACCAGAAAACAGGTCTAAAACCAGGTCTAAACAAGGTCCAAAACCAGGTCTAAACCAGGTCTAAAACCAGGTCTAAAACCAGGTCTAAATCCAGGTCTAAAACCAGGTCTAAAACCAGGTCTAAACAAAAACCAGGTCTAAAACCAGGTCTAAACCAGGTCTAAAAGGTCTAAACCAGGTCTAAACCAGGTCTAAAACCAGGTCTAAAACCAGGTCTAAACCAGGTCTAAAAACCAGGTCTAAACTCTAAACAGGTAAAACAGGATTTAACAGGACTAAATCCTGCTGTGTGGACGTGTTTCTTCGTCTTTTATCAATAATATTTTTAATTTGGTTCAGTAAAGTCTGGGCTTTTTATTTTCTTTTATCAGATAAAACTTCTTATGTTATAATTTCCTCATCTTTGTTTCTCTACAAGCAAATCAAGTAATCCAAAGTATTCAGATTACATTACTCACTTTAAGTAATTTAATGGATTATGTTACAAACTACATTTTGGTGTGTGTAATCTGTCTATAAGAGAACAAGCCACGACTGACTCCCACGAAGCAATGAACACAACAAATTTAATGGTCAAAATAATGTTTAAAAGTAAATCCGGACGAGTACAGCGAAAATAAAAGAACTAAGCCCTGATTTCAGAGTAAAAGTCGACGCTTACGTTCCAGTCGATGGTCGAGAAGAAACCGTGACGCTTTATCTCCTCTGCTCCGTCTGATCCAGAACCTTCAATAAAAGAAAAAAATCAATCCATCTAGTGTATTATTTGTATTTACTGAATGTTGTGGAATCGTTTGTCGCACACACGTTGGTCGTTAAAAGTCCGATATTACGCAAAATTGATTCTTGTGAAGAATGTCGGACCTCCTCAAAAACAGACCTGGAGTTGTGTTTTGTTTCCTTCACACACGTAAGATTAACCCTTTATTATTAGTCTTTTTTCAAGTGAACAGCTCCACCTTTAGTTCAGATTAGTAGATTGGCAATTCCAAGGTTGAAATGATCCACCTGAGAGAAGAACTCAGCCAAAAAATGCAGGATTTGTGATTTAAACGTGTGTAAATGAAACAAAACACAAGTACAGGTTTGTTTTTGAAGAGGAAACATTAGAACATGGATCAGAAAATAACATACGGGCTTTAAATCATAAAGTATCTGCATATCAAAACTGTGTCGACTCTGGTACGTTAAACCAAGATCGTCCATTAAGAGTTGCCATGTTCCTGATGGGTTCGGGCAAACAGCTGCTGAAACGGGAAAGTTTTAACGTTCTGGAATTTTACCGGTGGGTAGTGATTACACATGGGTGGGTCAGGACTAAACCAGGACTAACCCAGGACTAATCTTGGACTTAAGAGAAAGAGAGAGAGAACCCCGAGCCCGTGTGGAGCAGGGTGGACACAAAGCTCAATTCGGGTGACGGCTGAGCTCCGTGTGGCGAGGAGCTCTGTGCCGGTCCTTTCACCTGCGGTCACCCTACGGTCTACACGGATGCACCTCCGAGCTCATCCCAACAGTGAGTCCTGGTTTAGTCCTGGTTTAGTCCTGGTTTAGTCCTGGTTTTGTCCTGGTTTAGTCCTGGTTTTTGTCCAGTTTCAGTCCTGGTTTAGTCCAGTTTCAGTCCAGTTTCAGTCCAGTTTTAGTCCAGTTTTTGTCCTGTTTTGTCCTGGTTTAGTCCTGGTTTAGTCCTGTTTTGTCCTGTTTTTGTCCTGTTTTTGTCCTGGTTTAGTCCTGGTTTAGTCCATTTTCAGTCCTGTTTTAGTCCTGTTTTTGTCCTGGTTCAGTCCTGGTTTAGCCCTGGTTTTGTCCAGTTTCAGTCCTGGTTTAGTCCTGGTTTAGTCCAGTTTCAGTCCAGTTTTAGTCCTGTTTTTGTCCTGGTTTAGTCCTGGTTTAGTCCTGTTTTTGTCCTGTTTTTGTCCTGGTTTAGTCCTGTTTTAGTCCTGTTTTTGTCCTGGTTTAGTCCTGGTTTAGTCCATTTTCAGTCCAGTTTTAGTACGTTTTTTGTCCTGTTTTTGTCCTGGTCCACTCCTGGTTTAGTCCTGGTTTAGTCCTGTTTTTGTCCTGGTCCACTCCTGGTCCACTCCTGGTTTAGTCCTGTTTTTGTCTGTTTTTGTCCTGTTTTTGTCCTGGTTTAGTCCTGGTTTAGCCTGGTTTAGCCCTGGTTTTGTCCTGGTTCAGTCCTGGTTTAGCCCTGGTTTAGTCCAGTTTCAGTCCAGTTTTAGTCCTGTTTTAGTCCTGGTCCACTCCTGGTTTAGTCCTGGTTTAGTCCTGTTTTAGTCCTAGTTCAGTTCGTGGCGTGTTTCTTCTGTTCAGTAAATAATTCCTGTGAAGTGATGACAGTCGAGTCGCGTCTGTGAATTCATATTTGTACTTAAGACCGTAAACGTTTCATTTCATTTCGTGATTGGAATTCTTGAAGTCGTAACTTTTCAATCCATATTCTGATGGATGTTTCAGTTAGAATGTTTTTAATCTGAGTGTGGTTTTTCATGGGCACAGACGAGTAACGGGTCTGGGCGGGTGTGGGTTTAACTTTGAAAAAAATCACGGGTTAACGGGCGAGTGCAGGTGGAGGTGGGTCTCCAAAATGGACCCGTGCAGGACTCTGGAGCGTGTCAGAGCGTGTCAGAGCGTGTCAGAGTGTGTCAGAGTGTGTCAGAGTGTGTCAGAGTGTGTGTCAGAGCGTGTCAGAGTGTGTCAGAGTGTGTCAGAGCGTGTCAGAGCGTGTCAGAGCGTGTGTCAGAGCGTGTCAGAGCGTGTCAGAGCGTGTGTGCAGAGAGCGTGTCAGCAGAGCGTGTCAGAGCGTGTCAGAGAGTGTGTCAGAGCGTGTCAGAGCGTGTCAGAGCGTGTCAGAGCGTGGCAGAGCGTGTCAGAGCGTGTCAGAGCGTGGCAGAGCGTGTGTCAGAGCAGAGCGTGTCAGTCAGAGGTGTGTCAGAGCGTGTCAGAGCGTGGCAGAGCGTGTGGCAGAGCGTGGCAGAGCGTGGCAGAGCGTGGCAGAGCGTGTCAGAGCGTGTGCAGAGCGTGTGGCAGAGCGTGTGGCAGAGCGTGGCAGAGCGTGGCAGAGCGTGTCAGAGCGTGTCAGAGCGTGTCAGAGTGTGGCAGAGCGTGGCAGAGCGTGGCAGAGCGTGTCAGAGTGTGGCAGAGCGTGTCAGAGCGTGTCAGAGTGTGGCAGAGCGTGGCAGAGCGTGTGGCAGAGCGTGGTAGAGCGTGGTAGAGCGTGGCAGAGCGTGTCAGAGCGTGGCAGAGTGTGTCAGAGTGTGTCAGAGCGTGGCAGAGCGTGTCAGAGCGTGTCAGAGTGTGGCAGAGCGTGGCAGAGCAGAGCGTGTGCAGAGCGTGTCAGAGCGTGTCAGAGCGTGTCAGAGCGTGTCAGAGCGTGTCAGAGCGTGGTAGAGCGTGGCAGAGCGTGTCAGAGCGTGTCAGAGTGTGTCAGAGTGTGTCAGAGTGAGAGCGTGGTAGAGCGTGGCAGAGCGTGTCAGAACGTGTCAGAGTGTGTCAGAGTGTGTCAGAGCGTGGCAGAGCGTGGCAGAGCGTGGCAGGCAGAGCGTGGCAGAGCGTGTGGCAGAGCGTGTGCAGAGCGTGTCAGAGCAGAAGCGTGTCAGAACGTGTCAGAGCGTGTCAGAGCGTGGCAGAGCGTGGCAGAGCGTGTGCAGAGCGTGTCAGAGCGTGTCAGAGCGTGTCAGAGCGTGGCAGAGCGTGTCAGAGCGTGTCAGAGCGTGTCAGAGCGTGGCAGAGCGTGGCAGAGTGTGTCAGAGCGTGGCAGAGCGTGGCAGAGTGTGTCAGAGCGTGTCAGAGCGTGTCAGAGTGTGTCAGAGTGTGGCAGAGCGTGGCAGAGCGTGTCAGAGCGTGTCAGAGTGTGTCAGAGTGTGGCAGAGCGTGGCAGAGCGTGGCAGAGCGTGGCAGAGCGTGTGGCAGAGCGTGTGGCAGAGCGTGGTGCAGAGCGTGGCAGAGCGTGGCAGAGCGTGTGGCAGAAGCGTGGCAGAGCGTGTGGCAGAGCGTGTGGAGCGAGCGTGGCAGAGCGTGGCAGAGCGTGGCAGAGCGTGTGGCAGAGCGTGTGGCAGAGCGTGTGGCAGAGCGTGGCAGAGCGTGGCAGAACGTGTCAGAACGTGGCAGAACGTGTCAGAACGTGGCAGAACGTGGCAGAGCGTGGCAGAGCGTGGCAGCAGAGCGTGGCAGAGCGTGGCAGAGCGTGGCAGAGCGTGTCAGAACGTGTCAGAGCGTGTCAGAGCGTGTCAGAACGTGTCAGAACGTGGCAGAACGTGCAGAGCAGAGCGTGGCAGAGCGTGGCAGAGCGTGGCAGTGTCAGAGTGTCAGAGCGTGGCAGAGCGTGTCAGAGCAGTGTCAGAGCGTGTCAGAGCGTGTCAGAACGTGGCAGAGCGTGTCAGAGCGTGGCAGAGCGTGGCAGAGCGTGTCAGAGCGTGTCAGAGCGTGTCAGAGCGTGTCAGAGAGAGCGTGTGTCAGAGCGTGTCAGCAGAGAGCGTGGCAGAGCGTGGCAGAGCGTGGCAGAGCGTGTCAGAGCGTGTCAGAGCGTGGCAGAGCGTGGTAGAGCGTGGCAGAGCGGTGTCAGAGCGTGTCAGAGTGTCAGAGTGTGTCAGAGCGTGGCAGAGCGTGTCAGAGTGTGTCAGAGTGTGTCAGAGTGTGTCAGAGTGTGTCAGAGTGTGTCAGAGTGTGTCAGTGTCAGAGCGTGTCAGAGCGTGTCAGAGCGTGGCAGAGCGTGGCAGAGCGTGGCAGAGCGTGGCAGAGCGTGGCAGAGCGTGGCAGAACATGGCAGAGAGTGGCACATACCGAGGCGGTTGGCAGGGTTCCTCTTGAACAGCGCTCGGAGCAGAGACTGAGCCTCTGCACTCAGGAACTGAGGCATCCCCAGACGAGCCCTGGAGCAAACACCACACACACTGTGTCAGCAGATTCACACAGACGAGGTGTGGACGAGTCTTTGAATGACTCGACTCTCATCAGGATTTAAAACTCACGTACCACATTATCCTACCGTAAAACACCAAATAACAGCCGGGGCGTTTAGTTGTTTCAATCACTTAACAGACCAGGCCTTTATTGGAGAGTTTATTTGAGACTCGACTGCATCAGACTCGACTGCTGGACTAGACTGACTGGATTAGACTCGACTGCATTAGACTCGACTGCATCAGACTCGACTGACTCGACTGCATCGGACTCGACTGCATCGGACTCGACTGCATCGGACTCGACTGCATCGGACTCGACTGCATCGGACTCGACTGCATCAGACTCGACTGCATCAGACTCGACTGCTGACTCGACTGCATCGGACTCGACTGCATCGGACTCGACTGCATTAGACTGCTGACTGCATCAGACTCGACTGCATTAGACTCGACTGCATCAGACTCGACTGCATCAGACTCGACTGCATTAGACTCGACTGCATCAGACTCGACTGCATTAGACTCGACTGCATTAGACTCGACTGCATTAGACTCGACTGCATTAGACTCGACTGCATCAGACTCGACTGTGTTTATTTGGAACAGGCTGTTAATTGAAACCAGGCTATTATTTGGTATTTTACAGTAAGTTATTTTCTCCTAACATGTTTGAAAACAATTATTTTTTTTAAAAAAATACTCACTTTAAAATCATGTTCATGGTTTCTTTCCGGTCCTTCCCTTGGAACGGCAGAGCTCCAGTCAACATCTCGAACTGAAAAAACAGAATCATGTCAGATTTTCATTCATACAAACTTCAGTTTAGTCGACTAATACATTTTTGTTTGGGTTTTAGTTACTTAATATTGCAAAAAAAACGTGATAAATTATTTGGGCAATTATGTTATGAGGGTAATGATATATTATTATTTTGTTCATTTTATCTCTTTTGTTATTGTGTAAAACACTCAATAAAAATGAAGGGACAAAAAATAAACTTGACCAAAATAGAAAAAGTAAAAACTAAGCAAAAACATTATTTTCATTCAAAAATTGACGACAAAAAAAAACAACACACACATTTACACGAGTTACAGTAAACGTGTTACTCTTACCATCAGTACACCGAATGACCACCAGTCGGCGCTGTGGGTGTGTCCCTGTCGGTTCACCACTTCTGGAGCCATGTACTCCACAGTCCCACAGAAGGAATAAGCTTTTTTCTCGTGGTCGATCGCTTCTTTACACAGGCCAAAGTCTGAACAAAAACTCAAATTCTGTTATTCACATCAACATCGGTTTTTATTCCAGTTCAACATCATCTACAAACAGTGTCAGGGAGTAACAGATTACATGTACCAGAGTAATCAGAGTACAAATAATGAGTAACTGTATTCAGTTACAGTTACTGTTTCAGTGAGTGGTAATTGGATTACAGTTACTTTGTTGAAATAAATGGATTACACAGAGGGATTTTCCTGTTTTCAAATTTTTTTTCACATTTATTTATTTTTATTTTTTGTTGGTAATTCCACTCATTGCCAGACACTAAACCAGGTCTAAACCAGGTCTAAACCAGGTCTAAACCAGGACTAAACCAGGACTAAACCAGGACTGAACCAGGACTAAACCAGGTTTAAACCAGGTCTAAAGCCAGGTCTAAAAAACGTCTAAAACCAGGTCTAAACCCAGGTCCAAACCAGGTCTAAACCTGGCCTAAACCAGGTCTAAACTAGGACTAAACCAGGACTAAAACCGGGTCTAAACCAGGTCTCAAACAGGATTTAACAGGACTAAATCCTGCTGTGTGGACGTGTTTCTTCTTCTTCTATCAATAATATTTTTAATTTGGTTCAGTAAATCTGGACTTTTTATTGTTTTTTATCAGACAAAACTTCTTATGTGAAGATTTCCTCGTCTTTGTTTCTCTACAGTAAATCAAGTAATCCAAAGTAATCAGATTACATTACTCACTTTAAGTAATTTAATGGATTCTGTTACAAACTACATTTTGGTGTGTGTAATCTGTAATCTGTAGGGGATTACATTTTAAAAGTCACCTTCCCGAACACTGTCTACAAACTCATTTTCTAATCAAAACTCAGATGTATTTAGAGTTTATGTAGGTTCTAGGTTTCAAAATGAACTTAAAATAGTGAGTTTTTATTCATGTTACAGTGAATTTGTATTTATTTAAGGGATGAGATATTAAGAAAACAAACAAAAGTATTGAACGTTTAACGGTTTTCTTTCAGTTTCAGATCTGGAGTGAGATAAAGTCAGTGCAACGAGTTCAGATTTATACTTTATGATTCTGAGTCACGATTAGATAAAGTGAAGAGGCTGAGGAGGTCAAACGCTGAATGAGAAGAGCAAAAGGACAAACCTGTGAGTTTAATATGACCCTCCTCGTCCAACAAAATGCTGCAAGAAACAGAAAAAAGGATCATTTAAATAACAGAATGTAACATGCACAAGAATAATTATGTTTTAGATTCATAAATGTAAATCAAAAGTGGGTGATTTTTTATTTTTGTTCATTTTGAGTTCACCTTCAAGTACCTAAAATGCCTAAAATAATTAGGGTCTTGTCACAATATTACATTTTATTATTATTACATAAAATTTTAATATTAAGAAATCGACATACTAAATAAAAATTCTGTATTACGATTATTTAAAAAAATCTTTAGACAATATCCTGTGATTTTAGACATTAAATGGGAGAATTTTCTTTTCTTTTCCCATGTGGAGAAAGGAGCAGGTTTGTAGAGTCGAGTCAAACGCTGCAAATACTGAGAGCAGCGCAGGTGGAGATTTGTATGGAGTAAGAAAGCTGTCAAAAATATTTGTGCGCATAAAATAGAAATCTGTGCGTATTTGGGAAATCCGTGCATATTTGGCTGTAGTTGCGCATAAAATAAATATTTGTAAACTCTCAAATGAGTCCAGTCGTACATAAAATATATTGTTTGTATTTTATCCATCAGAATACGAATTGAAAAATTACGACGTCATGAATTACAATCATGAAATGAAAATTTACGATTACACTTTCATCAGTACGAATACGAATTTCACAGACGGAACTTTTACTGTCAAAAATACATACGTCATCACTTCACAGACATTATTCCATCGAGCAGAAGAAACATCGATCAAGATCAAGACTGAGCAGCTCAAGTTTGTATCAGAGTAAAAACAGAGTAAAAGCACAAGAAGCTACAACAGAACAACAAGTGGGTTCATTAAAATCTATTGTAAAAAATGTCTTGAATTCGGGAAAACCGAACGCTGCTGTGTATAATATTGTGTAGAAACACCTCCTCTGAACGGGAAATTGCACCTATATGTTAGAAAAACATAGTGGAGCCAGTTGGCAACATCCGACGTAACGTTATCCAGGGTTAATTAACAAATATCAGGTTCTCTGTAGGTTTAGATTAAAACATTCACGACTACAGCCACAGCGAACATCAGTCAGTCTGAACCTTCAGCTGCATTTCTCGCATGAAATGCCACCAAAAGTTCCTCAGGACACTGAAATGTCCCAGTTTACACCAAACACCAAACTGTCCTGGTTACGACGTCACAGCCAATGAAATGTTCCACATTACACTTTAATGCAGCTTCCAGCATCAATTAATGTTCGTGTTTACAGGCAACACCTTGGTATGTTTACAGTATTTACCGGTAAGTTTAATGTCACCGTGATGTAGGTGGATTTGCTCATGTATAACCCATTATAACTCATGTATAACCCATTATAACTCATGTATAACCCATTATAACTCATGTATAACCCATTATAACTCATGTTAACCCATTATAACTCATGTATAACCCATTGTCTGACATGCAGCTGAAGTGAAGACAGGACCTGCACACACAGACGTCCCGGTGTCCCTATGATCATGTAGCAGCCAGCAGTTTGTCGGTGTGAGGTTGGACCAGTCTGGAGGGTATTTGCTACATAATAACGATTTTATTGCCTGGTGAGGACCAAATAATCAAACTATCGGTGTGAAAACGACCCAAATGTAGCTAAAACCAAAGAAATTTCGGAAAAAAGTTCACACTCCAGTTCCTCCTCCATCCACGGGGAAGAAGTAGAAATGGTCGACTCCTGTAAGTATTTGGAAACTGTGAGATGAGTGAACTGAACTGCCCTTTGGGATTAATAAAGTTGTCGATTGATCGATTACAATTATATTCATCATTGTTGCACTTGAGCATTTTCCTTTCACAATTGTACTTTGAAATTGTAGTATCGTGACAAGTATTACCAATCACAATCACACTTTCTGTGCATGTTCCAAGCACATTTCCTACACAAAGCCACAACATCTGATTATTATTCGGATTATTTTAGAAGATTTGAGTTGAATTTGAGATCACTGAGCAGAGACACTGAGCTGCGTACTTCTCCGGTTTGAGGTCCCTGTAGATGATGCCCAGACTGTGCAGGTGGTCCAGCCCCAACGCCAGCTCCGCCAGGTAGAACTTCACGTCCTCCTCCGTGAACATCACCTGCACCACAACAGTAACAGGGCTTCAGATGAAATCACAACATTCTACAAACGGGTGGAAGCTAAAATTAAAATGGTTCAGCTGCAGATTTTGCAGGTCTCGGTCGAGTCAGGAACAGAAATGATCAGGTTCCAGATTTGGGAATTTACTTTTCTGATATTTCATGGAATAATAAAATATAATTAAAAGGAAAAACTCTGAGTCTGACATCATCACAATCTAGAACCTGAAAAGCAACAATAGTCAAAAGTAATGAGTAGAAGTTTTAGTTGAAATGATTTTCTACCTTTAAATTAAAATATGCCTATTTTAAAACACCAAACTTGACTAAGATTATTTATGTTTTTAGGTTCTTTTTACAGACCAAGAGTTTGTTTTTCATACCTGATAGTTTCTACAAATGAGCATCAAAAAACAAACTCTTGGTCTGCACAAAGAACCTAAAAACATAAAATATCAGAAGACCAAATGAATCTCATTGGCCTGTTGACTATTCATTTTATTTTATTTTTTTATTTTACGCATTTATTTTGGGCAAGTAAAGATTTACATTTATATACAATGGAACATATAACATAAGTGAAATCATAATAAAAACGAAAATAACAACAACAATTTATTTATTTTTTTTAACTATTATTATTACTACTTTGCCCAAAAAGGAATGGGAAGAAGAAAACTTATTTAATCTCAGCCCGACTCTTCATAATCTAAACAATGATCTTATTTTGTGTTTTTCAGACATTTTGAATTAAACTATATGAACTATTTACAAGTGCAGACAAACAGTCAGTGTCGGGGAGTAACAGATTACATGTACCAGAGTAATCAGAGTACAAATGATGAGTAACTGTATTCAGTTACAGTTACTGTTTCAGTGAGTGGTAATTGGATTACAGTTACTTTGTTGAAATAAATGGATTAAACAGAGGAAATTTTACTGTTTTCACATTTTGGGCTAAACCAGGACTAAAACCAGGACTAAAACCAGGACTAAAACCAGGACTAAAACAGGACTAAAACCAGGACTAAAACCAGGACTAAAACCAGGTCTAAACCAGGTCTAAACCAGGTCTAAACCAGGTCTAAACAAGGGCTAACACCAGGACTAAAACCAGGTCTAAAACCAGGTCTAAACCAGTTTGAAAAAGCCTCTAAGAACCGCTGCATAAACCACGTAATCCCCGCGCCGGCGAATCAGTTACACTAGAAATGTAGGGAGTTTGATTGACGACCTAACAGCCAATAGATAAAGAGGGAGCCTCGTTTTCTATTGGCTGATGTTCATCTGGACTCACCACGTCCAGAGTTGATAGATTTTCATTCTTTTTTTTTTTGGTCATCATAATTACAAGGCTGCTGCGTCTCTGTAATGGTATTTTAAACTTTCACTGACAATTTGAACCTAAAAAAAAATCCTCCATACAACCTTTAACACAAAGACAAGACAACAAATCAACAGACGCCCAAACAGACGTCCACCACAGAGCAAAATAAATAATAGACCAAGTGTGAACACAAATGATGCACCAACAGGACGTCTGGGTCCCTCTGTACAGACAAACCCAGTCTCAGTCTTATGATTTATTAAAACTGCACATTCATTGCACATTCTTCACGTCTTGTGCACAGGAAGCGTCTTATAAACAAAGGAAAGACTCTTCTGCACCTTTAACAGCAGCCAGAGTAAGTCTGTGCAGTTAAATTAATTCTGGTCACGATTTTGATTTGAGTGTCAAACGATCTCCAAACTCATATAATCGAGTTGAAATGATTAAAGCTTAACAAAGTTTATTTTATTTTTTAAATATAGAGAGTGTAGAACAGCTGGATATAAAGTTTATTTTGGACACGTTAATGTTTTTCTGCCTTATTTCATGTTCAAAGTTTATTTTATTCATTTTATGTTTTATACATCACAAAACTGCTCTAAGATTCAGATTTGTATCTGTATTTTTAATCTGAAAGTTTTGGATAAATGATCAATAACAAAGTATTTTTGAGAGAGAAATGTTGAATAAATGCATCGTGTAATAAAAAAATAATCGTTTGAATAATTGTGATTTCAATATTGACCAAAATAAACGTGATAATGATTTTTCCCATAATGGAGCAGCTCTGACCCAAATCACTGGAGGTTATTGAAACAATCGATGTGGCACAGGTGCTGTTCAGAAACTGAATGTTTAATAATGTTGGGTGTTTTTTATGTCACATTCATTTTACATCATTGAGAAAGTTTGATTTCAAAAAGCAGGTCACATACTGGAATATTGCTGAATGAAAATAAATATTATAAGATATTTGGTCGTGCTGTATGATTATTCACAATTATTACACTTTACACCATAACATCCAGAGTCACAACCTTAACTGAAAATGAGCCTTGCTCATTATTCACTAGATCAGGAGAGTCAAACTCATTTTGTTCCGGGGTCGTATCCAACCGACTCTGATCCCAAAGTGTCCGGATCAGAAAACTCATGTCATATAAACCCCAAAAATAACAATAAGTTCAAATATTTGTGCAGAGAAACACAAATCTATTACAGAAATCTTTTTTAAATTGATGAACTCTTTCTTTTACAAAATATTATAATATTATGAACAACCTGAAACTTTAAGAAAAATACAATTTCAACACAAAGTTTTAACATGAACTTGTCTGTAAACAGGAATAAGTCCATTTTTGTTGTAAAATCCTGCACTCGGCTCCACTTTTCTCATGTTGGACATTTTTCTGATGAGGGTGTCACGGTCAACAGTCAAAACGATCGTCCTTTAAGAGCGTTTGGAAAGAGACAAGTCTTCATTTGTGCTGCTCTGGTGGGAGGGGCCACGTACAGAGACGCTGGAGACGCTGCTGTGCTAAACACCACAGAAAATTACCAATATTTTAATTAAAATATTTAAATTGAAAATCAGCCAAGGGCCAGATTAAAGGTCTTGGAGGGCCGGATCTGGCCCCCGGGCCGTATGTTTGACACCTGTGCACTAGAGTTTCAGTTTATCTCAGCTGTTCGCTCGGACACTGGTCAGTAAAATAAAAATAAAGGACACTTAGGAGGGAGACGTACCTCTTTGGAGAGTCTCGTGAAGAGATCTCCTCCTCGCAGAAAGTCCAGGATCAAGTACAACTTCCCTTCGGTCTGAAAAGCTAAAAGTAAAATCAGTCAGAATTAAGACGGTAAAACATCTGACAGTTAAATAAATATTATTAATATATTATTAAATAAACCTGAAACAGTGACTCACCATAGTGCAGCTTGACCACGAAAGGATGGTTGACGTCGGCCAGGATGTCCCGCTCCATCTTGGTCCGAACTCTGTCTCTCACTGCAAACACACGGACAGCAGTGTCAGGAGTAACAGATTACATGTACCAGAGTAATCAGAGTACAAATGATGAGTAACTGTATTCAGTTACAGTTACTGTTTCAGTGAGTGGTAATTGGATTACAGTTACTTTGTTGAAATAAATGGATTACACAGAGGGATTTTACTGTTTTCACATTTTGGGCTAAACCAGGAACTAAAACCAAAACTAATCCAGAACCAGGACTAAAACCAGGACTAAACCAGGACTAAACCAGGACTAAAACCAGGACTAAACCAGGACTAAAACCAGGACTAAAACCAGGACTAAACCAGGACTAAAAACCAGGACTAAAACCAGGACTAAAACAAAACTAAAACCAGAACTAAAACCAGGACTAAACCAGGACTAAACCAGAAGACTAAACCAGGACTAAACCAGGACTAAAAACCAGACTAAAAACCAGACTAAACCAGGACTAAACCAGGACTAAAACCAGAACTAAACCAGGACTAAACCAGAACTAAAACCAGGACTAAAACCAGAAACTAAAACCAGGACTAAACCAGAACTAAGCCAGGACTAAAACCAGGACTAAAACCAGAACTAAAACCAGGAACTAAAACCAGGACTAAACCAGGACTAAACCAGGACTAAAACCAGAACTAAACCAGCCAGGACTAAAACCAGGACTAAAACCAGACTAAAACCAGGACTAAACCAGGACTAAACCAGGACTAAAACCAGGACTAAAACCAGAACTAAACCAGGAGGACTAAAACCAGGACTAAAACCAGAAAACTAAACCAGGACTAAAACCAGGACTAAACCATAAACCAGGACTAAAACCGGGACTGAACCAGGGACTGAAACCAGGACTGAACCGCTTTCAGTCCCGGTCTCAGTCCCAATCTTAGTCCTGGTCTGGTCCCGGTTTCAATCAGGATCTGGTCCTTTTTATTAATTAAACCAAAAAAAAAAAAAAAAAAAGAAAACAGCAGCTCCTTCACATCGACACAAACTCAAACACAAACTCACAGGACAATTTAACAAAAAACGTCTTTTACTCGTCTCAGATTTTATGAATGAAGCTTCACATTTAACTTCAGAACTGAATCGAGTCGCACAGAAGCAGCTGCGCCTCGATTCTCGCGGCACAAACTCTGAGATTCTGATGCTCTCGGCCACTTCTTGTTCTTATAATAATACGCGACCTCAAACAGAATTTAACATCATTGAGAAAGTTTCGTTTCCTGGGGCAGGTCACGCACGACGAGACGCTGACGTCTGAATGAAAAGAAAGTCAGATAAAACTTTACACCGTCAAGTCCCTCGTGACGCCCAGAAAACTTTAAATCAGACTTTACTCCTCATTATTCACTTTAAGAGTTTCAGTGTCTGTGTGCACCTGGTTTAGACCTGGTTTAGACCTGGTTTAGACCTGGTTTAGACCTGGTTTAGTCCTGGTTTAGACCTGGTTTAGTCCTGGTTTAGTCCTGGTTTAGACCTGGTTTAGTCCTGGTTTAGACCTGGTTTAGACCTGGTTTAGACCTGGTTTAGACCTGGTTTAGTCCTGGTTTAGACCTGGTTTAGACCTGGTTTTAGTCCTGGTTTAGTCCTGGTTTAGTCCTGGTTTAGACCTGGTTTAGTCCTGGTTTAGTCCTGGTTTTAGACCTGGTTTAGACCTGGTTTAGACCTGGTTTAGTCCTGGTTTAGACCTGGTTTAGACCTGGTTTAGACTGGTTTAGTCCTGGTTTAGTCCTGGTTTAGTCCTGGTTTAGACCTGGTTTAGACCTGGTTTAGTCCTGTTTAGTCCTGGTTTAGACCTGGTTTAGACCTGGTTTAGACCTGGTTTAGTCCTGGTTTAGTCCTGGTTTAGACCTGGTTTAGACCTGGTTTAGACCTGGTTTAGACCTGGTTTAGTCCTGGTTTAGTCCTGGTTTAGACCTGGTTTAGACCTGGTTTAGACCTGGTTTAGTCCTGGTTTAGACCTGGTTTAGTCCTGGTTTAGACCTGGTTTAGACCTGGTTTAGACCTGGTTTAGTCCTGGTTTAGTCCTGGTTTAGTCCTGGTTTAGACCTGGTTTAGTCCTGGTTTAGTCCTGGTTTAGACCTGGTTTTAGTCCTGGTTTAGTCCTGGTTTAGTTCTGGTTTAGCCCAAAATGTGAAAACAGTAAAATCCCTCTGTGTAATCCATTTATTTCAACAAAGTAACTGTAATCCAATTACCACTCACTGAAACAGTAACTGTAACTGAATACAGTTACTCATCATTTGTACTCTGATTACTCTGGTACATGTAATCTGTTACTCCCCGACACTGACCACAGAATGAATAAAAGAAGTGGACAAAGAGCTGCTCAAATGAAGCTTCTGATTCTCACGGTTACAGGAGTTTGGAGCCATTATGTTTGAATAAAACATTTTTTTGACGGATAAAAAAAAAAAAAACATGAACATTTTATGACCAAAATGAGTCAGAAGGAGCCGGAAGAGCTGAATCTGTGTGTCATTTGTTCATTTGTTTTTCAAAATAAAACCAAAATTAAGAAAACGAAAAAAAACAACAATAATTTTCTTCATTATTTGTCTCCAAAACCAAAATGAAAAAAAAAAAAAACAGATGATTCATTTTTTCATTTTTTGATTTTGTGTTTAAATGAAAGGACTGAACCAGGACTGAACCAGGACTGAACCAGGACTGAACCAGGACTGAACCAGGACTGAACCAGGACTGAACCAGGACTGAACCAGGACTGTTGGCTCTGGCTTGTTTGCGGCTTTGGTTCTTGTGTGAGACGAGGCTCTGCTCAGCGTCCAAACTCACACCACCACTTTCCTCTCCTCACGCTCTTTTATCATCTGCAAATGGAACTTCGATTAAAAAACACCGCAGGAGTTGTTTTGAAGACCTGGAGTCGTGACGAGCGGAGTTCAGTGTGTACGGGAGCGTGTGCAGGGTGTCGTGTGCAGGGTCACTTTATGGCCATGAGACAAACACTATGACTTTTAAACGAGTGTCTATGAATAAATAAATTACCAGACAAAAGTTTGAACACACCTTTTTCAATGCATTTTTTTTCATTAAGTTCAACTCTCCTTATATTTTACTGTATATACGGAATAAATGAGGCAATATGTATGAAAATCCAAATATTCTTTTAGACCCGGTCCAGCAGAAGTAAACAACAAGACCAAAACTTCAAGTTAATTCATCTGATATAAAACAGTATTGAACAGATACATATGTACTCGAGTTTATCAAACTGTTGACCTTTTTTCTGTTCCATTTTTGGTTCTAAAGTTCCATCTGTTTTAAACAGACCATGTATGAAACATGGAACAAAAATTATTTCCCAAATTTCAAAGACCTGAAAATCCTCTTCAGGTGAACCTTCAAGCTTCATCTTGGACTAATCTATTCCATCTTTGAACTGTTGATGAAGGGACATGGATTTAAAAAAAATTTTTAAAAAGTATTTAAAATGATAAAAATGTTCTTGGAAGGACTGACATATTTTATAGAAATAGTTTCTTTCATTTTGAAGTAATATTAAAGTTTTCAGAAGAAAAAAGCGACAAATGATGTAAAATCCTGCACCTTCTACTTGTTTGTACAATTTTCCCTCCGTTACTTTTCCCTCCGTTACCATGAACTTTCTTAATAAAAAATCTCATGAGTCAAAAAGTCAGAGGTTTTTCAACCTAATCTTGTTCCATATGGTAGAAAACTATATGAAGCAAATATTCAAACCAGTTTGTTAAGGATATGGAAGTGAGAACCAAGAGTTATCACTGTTTGGATTTATTGACCAAAAAGTGCTGCATATTTCATTCCCTCCGTTACCGACATGAGTTTTTTAAATTTTTTGTCTTGAACTTGAAAGAATCTCACAGGTTTAACTTGACCCTGTTGGAGTGTAACTCTTTCCTACATTCTGATACTTTACTTATTTCAATAGTTCCTCTAGTTTCTGAATAAGAGACATTTGAATGTCAAAAATCTGCCCCCGTTTCCCTCCGTTACCACTTGACCAGATCCATATACGACATATATGAGGCAATACGTACGAAAATCTGAATATTCTTTTATATTATATTTTTAATTCAAATGTCCAAAGCCACCCTTTGCTTTGTCGACGGCTCTACAAACCCTTGAGGAAGTGTGCAGAGTAAATAATCATGGAAAATAAAGAAGAAACATAAATAAATTAAAAGTGCGTCCAAAGTTTTGGCTGGTAGTTTACATTTTCTGATGAGATCCCAGTGGAGTAACAAATCCTAAAATGATGGAGGATCCTCCAGACTTCATTAAAGACCTGGGCTGCCTCCACAGATCTCCTGAACGTCTGGGCTTCGTACCTTTGAGCGTGGCCTTCTTCAGGACCTTCATGGCGTAGAGGTGGTTGGCATCAGGAGGAGTCACCTTCCGAACCAAAAACACCTGCAAAAAAAACCATCACCGTCCATCAGAACAGGGACTAGAACAGAGATTCTTTACCATATTAAGAAAAAAAAAATAGCTTAATGCACAATTTTGACATTTTATTTATTTTCTCTAATCAATTTTAAACTGCAACTTAACTTGTATTTTTATTGATTTGACAGTCTGTTGTTCATATATTCAGACATTGATAAAACTACTCTGCTTCTGTATCACAATCATAATGTAAGTTTGACCGGACGTCTGCTTGAGGTTTTCTCTAACCGAACCTCCTCAAATGCTGTACACTGTTAATATTTATTTATTGATTTATTTTTTTATTGGGTCCCGGGCCACAATGCAGTGGAAAAATCAGGCCTTAGTGTCAAAAAGTTTAAGAACTCCTGGACTAGAACAAACGTGGCTCAATCTGCACTTACAGAAACCCACGTCTGAGGGAAATTACATCAAAGTATTAAATGTAAAATTGAGTGTTTAAATGAACATCAGTCTCCCGGTTATTCTCCATATCCAGGTTCTGTCAGTGTTCGTGTTACTGTGTTTACATGCGCACTGAGAAACCGGGACACTCATATCCACGTGAACATGATCAAATGGAGTGTCCCGGTTTCTTGACATAATCTTACAAATGCGCAGGCACAAAAATGAACTTAAATCAATTTAATAAACCAGGAAAAATACAAACCGTGAGCTCCTTTAGCATAAGAAGCTAAGGAGCTACGAGATCTCCCACAATTAAATCTTCTGCATAAATAAACTCAACTTTACAACATCTAAACCAGAACCACTGTAGAGCCACATCAGCCCGTTTGATCAGATCATTCAGCTCTGATCACATTTGTTTACGTTTTACAGAAACGAAACTTAAGACCGTTTGGCTAATTAGCATAAACTGTTAGCGCTGATAAAAACAGCTGCTCCTTGTGTCGCTGATGTGGTTCAGTTTCTTTTGGACTAAATGACACGACTCTGTGTTATTATGTGTGTTATTTTTGTGACAGAAGAGGTGCTGATGATGGTGAGTCTGTTTCTAGAGGTGAGCGGATGGGCGACTTTTTCACCCGCAACCGCATCGCAAAACTCATCATCCGCCCGCTGTCCATTTGCAACCACAGTTTTTAACCAGTTTTCAAAACCGCGCCGCCCGCCGTCCGCTCGCTCTCCTCCCATTTGCTCCGAGTTCAGAGTTTTTTATTTGAGTAGTGAAACCGCCACCCGCCCAAATTTAATTAAAATATTATTTTTCGTCACATCATCCGCCTGAACCGCGGAGTCCATGGCTGTAACCGCCATCCGCTCTAGTCTCTAGTCTGTTCTGTGTGTGTGTGTTGTACAGGAGATAGTTCATGTTTTAGCTTTTCAGCGTCACACGAGTGCAGGTCGTACAAGTGCAGATTGTACATGTGCAGGTTTAGCGCAGCTCTTAATTTTACTGTCATTTCACTCGTTTGGTCACTTTATTTATGTTGGTTAATTTATTTGTGTCGCTACTGTTGTGGTGAAAAGACTGGAAAGTGTCTTTTAGACGCATGCGACTCAACTTCATGTTGCAGTAACCGGGATACTGCGTTTACATGTCACAGTATCCACGTTACTATCGGAATAAACCAGCTACAGTGATCCCGGTTACTAATAACCAAGATCCTGAAACCGGGGTTACTGCGTTTACATGCACCATGAAGAAACCGGGAAACTCAAAAAACCCGATCAGAACCGGGTTATTGATGCACATGTAAACGCACTCAATGACTTTTTAAAACTTTCTACCATGTTATAAAGTTATGCTCCTTCATCAAAAAGCAGACTTGAAGATCAATCATACATGTCTGAGCTTTTTATCTATTTGGATATAAAATCTTTAACTGTTTTTTTCATTACTGCATAATCCCATGTGTCTTGCTTTGTATATTTTTTATTTATGTATCTAAAATGAAGAAAGGGTCAGTCCATATGAAATCAGCCGTTTTCAAGGAATCTCCCCTATGAGCCGTCTCAGATTTGGCTGAAAAAATTTCAAAAATTTCTAAAATTACCAAATGAAAGAATCTCAAATTTTAGCTCAGTCCCTTCAGTCGTTCTTGAGTTACGGCTCATGTCCACTTTTTCAGAAGCCTTAATTTATAATCATGTTTGAGAGACCTGAACTTCATAAAAAATAGAACAAGGAAGCTGAAAATGTGAATTATTGGAGATTCTTGGTCACAGATTCTAAATCTGTTGTGTATCTTTATTAAGGGCGGCGCTGTGGGTTCTCAAAATCTCTAATTTGGTTACTGCTCAATTTTTTATTTTTTTTAAGTTTTAAGGTCCAAAATCTATTTACTCCAAGCAGATATTTACAAACTAACTGTTGAACCTGAATATTTGAGAAAATGACAATTTCTGACAACAATCTCACATTATTCTGAGCTCATAAATGAAGGTTTCCAAAAAAGTGAACATGATCCCAGAATTTCAACAGGCCATAACTCAAGAACGACTGAAGGGATTGAGCTAAAATTTAAGCTTCTTGGACTGACCTGAAAGCTGTAACCCAAACCAGTCCAAACCTTTAACTAGTAGTGCACATTTTTAGATAATAGAGGCTTTGCACCGTTACGTGTCCCTATAGCAACGGTACTGACGCCGCCATGACACCGGACACAATATGTCACTGACTTCAGCAGCATCGGAGAAACATGGGCAGGTTTTGTTGTGTATTTGGTTCTAGACGCTCTGAAAGGGATAAAACGATTCGTTTCTTCACTGTTCCTCTGGAAATGACTCATCAGGATCAAACAAGGGAATTATCAGGAAAAAAGACGCAGATTATGTCTAGAAACATAAACCACGAAGAGATTTCCAATGGTCCCATCAAGACACACTCACGTCACTTTCATCAAGGTATTTACTATTTAAATTGTTTCATAGTTTATTTAATGAGAGAAGCACATTTACTGAACTAAAATGTAAAAAGAAACATTTGCAGTGTGAGTGTGAGTAGAAACTGTATGTTCCAGCACATATAAACATGTCACTCGTCGTAGGACCATGTTTTCTTTATTGTCTTGTTTATCCACAACTTTGTCTTCTAGAATTAATCTCTTTTTGTGAGTGGATCTTTGTAACGTTCACGAGGATCTTTTCATGGTCGATTCTTTCGAGGTTCGGCTCACAGACTCTTCGACTCGTGCGTCGTGTTGATCACAGGAGCCAGTGTGGGTTCGTTGAATCGTAAACTAGTGCGGGTTTTCCTGGATAAATTTATGAAATTTTAGTTCAGTAAATGTGCTTCTTTCATTAAATAAACTATGAAACAATTTAAATAGCAAATACCTTGATGAAACGTCAGGTGTCTTGATGGTACAATAGGAAATCTCTTTGCAGTTTAACTTCTTAGGTTCTTTTTAAAGACAATGCAGTAAACTGTCCTGTCCAGTTCTGAAGATGGCTTGCAGCGAGCAGCCGAAACATGTCAACAAGGTAAATACACTTTACTGCATTGTCTTTAAAAAGAACCTAAGAAGTTAAAGTATATAAGAAGACATAATGAACATCATTGGCTCTTTGCAGTTTAATTTTGCTGCTATAATCCACGTCTTTTTTTCGATAATTCCCTTGTTTGAGCTCTTGATGAGTAATTTCCAGAGGAACAGTGAAGAAACGAATCGTTTTATCCCTTTCAGAGCGTCTAGAACAACCAAATACACAACAAAACCTGCCCATGTTTCTCCGACGCTGCTGAAGTCAGTGACATAGTGTGTCCGGTGTCATGGCGGCGTAGGTACCGTTGCTATAGGGACACGTGACGGTGCAAAGCCTCTATTGCACTTTTTTTTTTACACATTTGTAAAGTGAGAGACGTTGGAGCAGGTGAAGAGCTTCGTACCTTCCCGAAGGAGCCCTGCCCCAGGACCTTGAGCAGCTCAAACTGTGAGGCATCTGCTTTCTCCGAGCCCTCCTTCACCACATGTGTGATGTTGATCTCCTTAATCTCTCCGTCATCCTGAAAACACACAACAAAACATCAGGCATTTCATTCAGACCAGCCTTTAATTCTTGACATTTTGATGAAAACTCAAAATTCAGTGTTTTGGAAAATTACAATATTGTGAAAAAGCTGAATATTGGGAAGTCGCCCTGATCAGATAATGAACTGAAAACACGAGAAAGTTTCCTGAGCCTTTAAACGAACTCTCGGTCTGAGTCAGCGGGCGACACAATCATGGTTAAGATCACAAAAGCTCATTTCTAGAGAAGTTGGTTGTTCAGTGCGGTGTCCAAACATATTCTGAGAAACTTGAGAGGAAGAAAACGTGTGACAAGAAAAGATGCAAGAGACAAAGGGTCGAACGCAGCCTTGAGACGACTGTCGAGGCAAAATCCACTCAAGAATTTGGTGGAGACTTGACTGAAGGTGGAGCCAGAACATCAAGAGCCACTCTGCACAAACGAAGACTAAACGGGACATGAGGCGATGTCAGAAGAATCTGACCCGGACGACGAAGACAAACTACTAGACTGTTGCTCTGTGGTTCAAATTCCTCTTTTCAGATGAAAGTAGAGCTGCTCGATTACGGAAAAAATCATTATCACGATTATTTTGGTCAATATTGAAATCACAATTTGTTAAAAAGGTGTATTCTTGGTCTTCTGCATGGAGACTGTCACTGTGTGCAACGACCAATCAGAACTTTGGCCCCTTATGTGGCCCCATCTTGCAGGACTGGGACCAGGTATTGGGGCTCAGTGTTTTTTCGGTGACGAGTGTTTTTTTAGAGGTTATTTTCATCTTTGGTAGTGTGTGCGTAATATACAACGTAAGTAGATGTTCTCTTTGTTTTTATTGTTTGCTATGTACGTTTCTTTATGGTATTTCAGCCTGTTTTGGCCTAATTTGCGTGCGTCATGCGGACAGATAACGTAACTCTGGGTATAGTTAGAAAAGCGGTTCAGTTTATCATCGCTGCATAACTGATGTATATTATGTTTGTTACTGCCTTTTTTTTCCCACTTCTATTATCGTTCACCGTTATGTTTGGAGTTGTTTATTATGTATAGTCGTATAGTTGTTTAATGTGCATTTTTTGTGCCTCGTTTCCCACAGAACCACACACTTACACCATTTTCTCCTAATAGTGGAAATTCAATAAAGCAGCGGGTTAAAACAGACAGCACCCCTTAGTATATTTTACACAATTATTCAAACGATTATTTTTTAGTTACACGATGCATGTATCTGTGCTTCGGCAAAGTTCTAAAGTCCTACCGTGAATGCAGCCTAAATCATTTCAACTCGATTACAGTATTTTCCGGGCTATTAGACGCGTCTAAAGCCTCCAACCTCATCAAAAAAACGACTGCGTGCCCCACAATCCCTGTATCGTTCGATCATTTGTTTTTCAATATAAAACCAAAAATAAAAAAATGAATAAACAACAGTTTTCCTCATTATTTGTCTACAAAACCAAAATGAAAAAACAGATAACGATTTGTTTTTTCAGTTTTCGATTTTGTGTTTAAATGAAGAATTGAAAAAACGGATAACGGCCGTTTTCCGTTTTCCGTTTACGTGACGTCCGTGACTGCGATGCCGGACTTTTGCACCGCGTACGGACCAGGAACCAGGACTGATCCAGATCCGGTCTGGTCCAGGTCAGGTTCCGGTCTGGTCCCAGTCTCAGTCCCGGTCTGGTCCTGGACCTGGATCAGTCATGGTTCAGTCCGTATGCGGCACTAAAGTCCAGCATTGCAGTCACAGAAGTCACATAAACATGAAATATGTCACGTATGTGTCATGAGTCTATATGATATAAAATATGGGTTTGACTTTCCTGAAAAATATTGAAGTTTTTCATGATGGTCAGATTTTTAGAGCTGGACTATATATATATATATATATATATATATATATATATATATAGTATAAACTTATCTGCATTATTCAACACAACACAAGAGCATCATTACTAGAAAGAGGAAGCTGTTTGCAAGTGGGTCATGTTTAAAAAAGATTTTCAGTAAACGCTCCAAACCACAAACAGCCCTGACAGTAAACAACAGCTTTAAACACAACTTCCACTCCACACTGACGGGTGGAGTGACACTCTGAAGGAGGGTGGGGGTGCAGAAACTGTGAACCTCCCTTTTTCTCGACCTCCTCTCCACCCAAACTCTGCAACATCAAAACACACGCACAGAGACCCCCGAGCTCACGAGCACAAAAACAAAAACATCTGCATGAAACTGACACCTACAAGATGAGAACAAGTACAAGTACAAGTACAAGTACAGGAAGCTACTGAGCCAATACTTGATCCGGGGTTCATCCCACAGTGAACAAAGAACTAACAAAACCAAAAGCCGACCTAAGTCGAGGTGTGACAGTTCACATGAGGTAAAGAATCCTCTCAGCAGTTTGGACACATGTCTATAAATATATATATTTTATTATAATTTTTTTTTTTTTTATTAAATTTAATTTTTATTTTTATTTTTTTATTTTTTTCCTTTGCTTTTTTTTTTATTTATTTTTTATTTTTATTATTATTTTTTATATTATTTTTTTCATTTAATTTTATTTTGCTTTATTATTTTTATTTTTTATTTTATTTATATATATATATATATAATTTTATTTACTTTTATTTTTTTATTTCATGTACTTATTTATTAATTATTTACTTATTTTATTAAATGAATTCTTTTTGCACAGTGTAAAAAAAAAATAAAAAAAATACATTCAGACATTTTAGCCACTTGAGATTTTATAATTGAGCTGAATACATTTAGCAATTATTATTATTATTATTATTATTATATATTATTATTATATTATATTAATATAATAATAATAATAATAATAATAATAATAATAATAATAATAATAATAATAATAATAATTTGTATTATTTTTTTTTTTTTCAAATAAATTATTGGTTGGTTCCTGTTCAGAAGTAAACTGGCAATAAGTCAGTGTAAAATAAGAAAAAGGCAACATAAATTGACACTCCAGCCGTTTCTCTAATATCTCTTCTCTGCTGTTGTCCTTATACATCTTTTATAATCGCAATACATTATTATTATTTTTTTAGTTTTTTTGTTCTACTAAGACAGAACTGTTCAATGAATCGACTAAACAAACAGCCTTAGTTAACAGACAGTTTGGCTTGGGAATAAGATAAATAATATGATTTTAGTTTATTATAATAATTTAAAAAAGAAAAATACAAGGCAAAATGTAAAAAAGACAAAAATAGAGCCGCGCACAAATCAGCCGACATTCAAAACACAACAGTTTGTGTCTGTGAACAGGAAACCAGCTGCTGCACGGAGCTGTGTGACTTTTTAAGGGACTTTATTGTCCACAGAGGGGAATTTGTCCTCTGCATTTGACCCATTCTTCAGTGTCACTGGGGGAAACCTGAGTCCTAAACTAGAATTAGAAACTGAAATGCCCGGAAAAAGACCACGAAAAAAAAAAAAAAAAGACAGATTCAAACCCGGAGTCTTACAGCTGTGAGACTAAAATGCTCAGTCAAGTGCATAGAACTTACTTTATCAAATATAAAATAATAAGTTTGTGGGCCGTCTCCAAGGAGATTAATGCTTTGTTTGGAATGTTCCACATGAATCTATTAAAATAACTGGACACAGTGATGCTGCTTGTCGCTGCCTCCAGTTGATGTAGTGACACTCACTGGTTCTACAGCGGAAAAAATCCCATGGGCCGAGAGACGATTTTTTTCAGTGTAATGACAAACTGCTCGTGTTCGTCTGACAGGGACCTACAACTTTCAAAAATGTCGGATTTTGTGGTGATTTTTACCTGTTTTTAGATCAAACGCTTTTTCTCAGCTCAAAATCCTTCAATTGTCTCACCAAACGCTTTATAATCGTTCACTTCGGCTCCGCTCTACCTCCTCTCACTCCGATTGGTCAAAGCGATCACGTGACACACGAGCCCGCGCACCGTTCGTGCGTTCGCGTGCGTTCGCGTGCATTCGCGTGTTGCCCGCGGGGGAAAAGAACACCACAGCACATGCTCGGTCGGCCCACAGCCACCGGACGAACCTCGCCGGGCTAATCTGGGATCACGCGCCATTGAGCTCGGCCCAGTGACTTGAATTTTGGAACCTGGGGGCTTGATGTTCCACAGTTGAGCATTAAACATGTCCATCCCCAGGGAACAACACCGAAATAATTTACACGTCAAACCTGAAGAGAGGAGATCGTTCTCACAGTAACAAGGTTTTTCAAAGTGTCTGAGCAATAAAAACAAAGCTCATAGATCATAAATATTCATGCAGGTTTAATGCTCTACTGTGGAATATTCCAGACAAAGCAGCTACTGTCCATGTCCCTGAAGACAAACAGGTGCATCCTTAAATGACTAAGTTGTGGTTTTATTCTTTTACAAACATGATGAAGCTGAACATGGATCTGACACTTGTTTAGTCGTTTTGTTTAGAAGTTGCAGAAGCGTCCGACTGACTTCCAGTGTCGGGAGTAACAGATTACATGTACCAGAGTAATCAGAGTACAAATGATGAGTAACTGTATTCAGTTACAGTTACTGTTTCAGTGAGTGGTAATTGGATTACAGTTACTTTGTTGAAATAAATGGATTACACAGAAGTATTTAACTGTTTTCACAATTTGGGCTAAATCCCCTTTTTTTTTTTTTTTTTTTTTTTTTTTGGTAATTCCACTCATTGCTGGAAACTAAACCAGGTCTAAACTAGATCTAAACCAGGACTAAACCAGGACTAAACCAGGACTAAACCAGGACTAAAACCAGGTCTAAACCAGGGCTAAACCAGGTCTAAAACAGGACTAAAACAGGTCTAAACCAGGTCTAAACCAGGTCTAAAAAAGGTCTAAACTAGATCTAAAACAGGTCTAAACCAGGACTAAAACCAGGACTAAAACAGGATTAAAACAGGTCTAAACCAGGTCTAAACCAGGACTAAAACAGGACTAAAACCAGGTCTAAACCAGGTCTAAAACAGGACTAAAACCAGGTCTAAACCAGGATTAAAACCAGGTCTAAACTAGATCTAAACTAGATCTAAAACAGGTCTAAACCAGGACTAAAACCAGGACTAAACCAGGACTAAAACAGGTCTTAAACAGGTCTAAAACAGGTCTAAACCAGGTCTAAAACAGGTCTAAACCAGGTCTAAACCAGGTCTAAAACAGGTCTAAAACAGGACTAAACCAGGTCTAAACCAGGACTAATACAGGACTAAAACCAGGTCGAAACTAGATCTAAACCAGGTCTAAAACCCGGACTATACCAGGACTATACCAGGACTAAAACAGGATTAAACCAGGTCTAAACCAGGACTAAAACCAGGTCTAAACTAGATCTAAAACCAGGACTAAACCAGGTCTAAAATTGGACTAAAACAGGATTTAACTGTTTCTTCGTCTTTTATCTATAATATTTTTAATTTGGTTCAGTAAATCTGGACTTTTTATTTTCTTTTATCAGACAAAACTTCTTATGTGAAGATTTCCTCGTCTTTGTTTCTCTACAGCAAATCAAGTAATCCAAAGTAATCAGATTACATTACTCACTTTAAGTCATTTAATGGATTCTGTTACAAACTACATTTTGGTGTGTGTAATCTGTAATCTGTAGGGGATTACATTTGAAAAGTAACCTTCCCGACACTGCTGACTTCCTACTCGCTCCTCAGAGTTGAGCTGCGGTCGTGGTCCTACCGTCCAGGGTGGGTCTGGCGCAGGCTGCCGGCCGCTCTCCCTGGGACACGGGGCCGGGCTCTTCTTGGGCAGGTAATGGGCCAGGAGGCGGCTCAGGTTGAACCTCCTCTTGTCCTTGTCCATCAGCGCGAGGCCTGCATGATCTCGCCGCACCCGAGCACAAACGCCGCGCTACCTGCACCGCGCCATCGCCGCGCTCACGCCACCGCACGCCCGGCGGCTCAGACGTGGGCCCCCGCGCGACACGCCGCAGGGCTCGGTCAAAAGAGGTAGTCCATGGTTACGGTCGGGTTTGTCCTCGTGTGGCTGCAGTCGCTCTTCTGTCGCTCTGTGCTCATTCTTCTGTCGCTCTGGTGCTAAACTGGAGGTGAAACTTCGAGGCAGGAAGGAAGCCTCACTCTGTCGGCGCTGCTGCGGTGAGAGAGAAAGAGGCAAAAAGCCCAAACAAAAACACTGGCAGGTCCAAGCCCCCAGGCCTGTCACACCTTTACAACGACGATATATCGCTGGAGAAAACTGATGGTAAATAATAATATCAAAATGATGCCACTGATGCTGCTAAAAATGAAATGCTGTAGGTAAAGGTAAAAAAAAAAAAAAAAAAAAGTCACGGTTGGGTACGTCCCTCGGTTTTGAGGTCACGGTTCAGTTCATTTTCAGTTTAGTTTGGGAACAAAATGTAAAACCAACTGCTTGTTGTCTGTGTTTTTATTAAACCAACAATCGGTTTTATATTATACAAATAGGAAAATAAAATAAGTAGTAAGTACTTCACACTCATTTGAAATACCACAGATGTTCCATTTATTGCACTAACTGCACCACAGAAACTCTGCTCGTGCGTCGACGTCTCTGTTTGATCTCGAGTTTGTCACGTGATGAAAATTCAAAGGAAAATGTAATAAATGTCATATCATTATTTAAATATAAATACTTCCATATAGATGTCATTTTTAAATTTAATCTACAAGATTCAAGATGCAGATGTGTTATTATTTGCCAGAAAGTAATAAAAAAAAAATAAAAAATAGGCCTTGAGACTTTTGAGGATTGCCTCATAGGACCAGTTCAGGTGGTGGGTTCACAGACGGGCTGGGGGCCGCTCAAAGGGACGTAGAGGACCGGAGTCGGCCCGCAGGCCTTAGTTTGATGACCCTTGCTCAAGAGCATCAAAAAATGAAGAATATAAAACATGTTAATATGTTGTTTTAAGTGAAAACAGCATCAAAACAATGAAAGGTGCACTGTGAGTAAAATATATTATATATAAACCAGGGGTGTGCAAAAATATTGAAATATCAATATATCGTATCATTTAACGTGATGGTTCAGTATCGATATCGTGGGCTGCAGTATCGATATATCAGCAAGAGTATTTTTTGGTGTATTTTACTAAATTATTATCTTACAGTTACAGTTTTGTTGCTTGTTTAGAGGAATGAAACTCGTTTATGCGACACATTTCACATTTTCACTGTTTTGTTTTAAAATGTTTGTGTTTCATAAGAACTTCAGCACAAGAAGTGGTTTAACAAAGACTTTTAGTAACACATCCATCATTTTGTAATTATTTTTTACTGAACCGTATCGAATTGATTTGAAATATAGCGACTGGAAAAATGTGTCTTGTCGTCTCCGGGTGGAGAGTCTCTGCCTCAAGTGGAGGAGTTCAAGTCTGTCGGGGTTTTGTTCTCGAGGGTCGACAGGTGCAGCGTGAGATTGACAGGTGGACAGGTGCAGCGTGAGATTGACAGGTGGACAGGTGCAGCGTGAGATTGACAGGTGGACAGGTGCAGCGTGAGATTGACAGGTGCAGGTGCAGCGTGAGATGGAACAGGTGGACAGGTGCAGCGTGAGATTGACGTGGACAGAGCGTGAGATTGACAGGTGGACAGGTGCAGCGTGAGATTGACAGGTGGACAGGTGCAGCGTGAGATTGACAGGTGGACAGGTGCAGCGTCTGCAGTGATGCGGTCGCTGTATCGGTCGTTGTGGTGAAGAGGAGCTGAGCTGGTCAGTCTATGTTCCTCCTCTCACCTCTGGTCATGCTCTGGGTAATGACCCAAAGGACGAGATCAACGATACAAGCGCTCACAATGAGTTTCCTCCGCAGGGCGACTGGGCGTCTCCCTTAGAGACAGAGTGAGGAGCTCGGAGTAGAGCCGCTGCTCCTCCACGTCGAGAGGAGCAGCTGAGGGGCAGAGATCTGTTCCCTCTGGAGGTGTTCACGTCCCACCAGGAGGAGGCCCCGGGGAAGACCCAGGACACACTGGAGGGACTGTGTCTCTGGACTGGACTGGGAACACCTCAGGTCCCACTGGAGGAGCTGGAGGAAGTGTCTGGGGTGAAGGAAGTGTTGGAATCCCTGCTTAGACTGATGCCCCCACGACCCGGACCAGGATAAGAGGAAGAAAATGGCTGGATGGAAATATCGTATTGAATCAAAAATGCTCTGTATCGAGGTGTGTATCGTATCGTGGCCTACGTATCGATATATGTATCGTATCGTGGCCTACGTATCGATATATGTATCGTATCGTGGCCTACGTATCGAGATACGTATCGTATCGGTAACCTCTTAACGATACTCAGCCCTAATGTAAACAGTTAATACTCCAAAGAAGAAAAATACACCTTTTTTAGTAAATAAACTCATTCTAGTCACACCTGCAGAAACAACGATTATAATTCTGTTTTCTAGTGATTTATGTTGATGTTATTTGTTGTTATTTGTGATTTATTTTGATGTTATTTGTTGTTATTTGTGATTTATTTTGATGTTATTTGTTGTTTATTTTATTTTCATCATCAGTGGTCTGAGTCGTGTCTTACCTGGCCTCTAACACGAGCAAAGTCCTTCTCTATCCAGGTGATGTGAGTCTGGCTCTGCGGACGGTTCAGGTGAAGGAGGAAGTTAGAACAGTGGGAGTAAAAAGTGTCAAAGTGTAAAAGTGCTGCCCCCTGTGTCTCTGGAGGAGCAGCGCGACCACGACTGACGCCACAAACAAACAAACTGCTGACAGGAAACTGCTCTTCTCACATCGCATCACTTCCTCTTTTATGACACGTGTCCTTCCTGTTCTCTACAGCCAGGTGCTACTACTACACACTAGTACTACTACTACTACTACTACTACTACTACACACAGTACTACTACTACTACTACTACTACTACTACACACAGTACTACTACTACTACTACTACACACTACAAGTACTACTACTACTACTACTACTACTACTACTACTACTACTACTACTACTACTACTACTACTACTACTACTACTACTACTACTACTACTACTAGTACTACTACTACTACTACTACTACACAGTAGTACTACTAATGTACAGCCAGGTGCTAGTACTACGTACTACTACTACTACTACTACAACACAGTACTACTAGTACTACTACTACTACTACTACTACTACTACACACAGTGCTACTACTACTACTACTACACACAGTACTACTACTACTACTACTACTACTACTACTACTACTACTACTACTACTACTACTACTACTACTACTACTACTACTACTACTGACTACTACACTACTACTACACACAGTACTACTACTACTACTACTACTACTACTACTACTACTACTACTACTACTACTACTACTACTACTACTACTACAACTACAACTACTAACTACTACTACTACTACTACTACTGACAACTACTACGACAACACTACTACTAGACTACTACTACTACTACAACTACTACTACTACTACAAAAACTACCACAACAACTACTACTACAAAAACTGCAAACACTACAACGACTACTACATCTACTACTACAACTACAACAACTACATTTACAACTACTACTACTAGTATTACAAACAACTACAACTACTACATGTACTACTACAAGTACTGCAAACAATTACTACAACTACAACAACAGTTAGAACTACTACTACTGCAACTACAACTACTGCTCTTACTAAAACAACTACTACTACAACTACTACATGTACTACTACAAGTACTGCAAACAATTACTACACCTACTACAACTACAACAACTACTACTACAACAACTAGAACTACTACTACTGCAACTACTGCAACTTCATCTACTGTTCTTACTAAAACAACAACAACTACAACTACTAACAATTACTACAACTACTACTACTACAACTACTACTACTTCTTGCCTATTTCTTCAGGAGCTGCTACATCCCTTTTCATTAGAATGTGACACAATGTGACAAAAACCACAACACGTTCTCAAAAAGTACTTCAAACTCTTGGCGTTTTCGAGTCTAACCCTCGTCCATCCGACTTCCCGAACGCTGACCCGGGCTCAGCCTCCCGCCAGAGACCAGGAAACCCCCGTCCCTCCTCATCCCAAAAAAATACTGCACCGAGACAAGCCCAGACAAGTCCCCGGACCGACCCAGTCCCGGTCCCGCCCCTCCAGTGACTCCTCCGTGAGCTCGGGACTTGCCTCTGGAGCGTGAGGTCGGGTCCGGAACAGCATTCTCCACATGTCTGCGGTCGCACAGAGCCATGTCACTGCCCCGAGTCTCCCCCGGCGCCGTGAGCGTCCCGCGGCGGGTTGGCCAATACCTCGAGTACGCAACCCGAGCGCGCAGCAGAATGGGAAGTGAAGACGAGGTGAAGAACTGAAGTGCCAGCGCTGTTTCCTGCTTAGTTTATTGCTCAAACTGAACTGAATGATTTGAGCTTCTTGGTTTAGTCCTGGTGTAGTCCTGGTTTAGACCTGGTTTAGTCCTGGTTTAGTCCTGGTTTAGTCCTGGTTTAGACCTGGTTTAGTCCTGGTTTAGACCTAGTTTAGACCTGGTTTAGACCTGGTTTAGACCTGGTTTAGACCTGGTTTAGTCCTGGTTTAGACCTGGTTTAAGTCCTGGTTTTAGACCTGGTTTAGACCTGGTTTAGTCCTGGTTTAGACCTGGTTCAGACCTGGTTTAGTCCTGGTTAGACCCTGGTTTAGATCCTGGTTTAGTCCTGTTTAGTTTAGTCCTGGTTTAGTCCTGGTTTAGACCTGGTTTAGTCCTGGTGTAGTCCTGGTTTAGTCCTGGTTTAGACCTGGTTTAGTCCTGGTTTAGTCCCTGGTTTAGTCCTGGTTTAGACCTGGTTTAGTCCTGGTTGTAGTCCTGGTTAGTAGTCCTGGTTTAGACCTGGTTTAGTCCTGGTTTAGTCCTGGTTTTAGTCCTGGTTTAGTCCTGGTTCAGACCTGGTTTAGTCCTGGTCTGATTTAGACCTGGTTTAGACCCTGGTTTAGACCTGGTTTAGTCCTGGTGTAGTAGTCCTGGTTTAGCCTGGTTTAGACCTGGTTTAGACCTGGTTTAGTCCTGGTTTAGACCTGGTTTTAGACCTGGTTTAGTCCTGGTTTAGTCCTGGTTTTTAGTCCTGGTTTAGTCCTGGTTTAGAGACCTGGTTTAGACCTGGTTTAGACCTGGTTTAGTCCTGGTTTAGTCCTGGTTTAGACCTGGTGTAGACCTGGTTTAGTCCTGGTTTAGTCCTGGTTTAGTCCTGGTTTAGTCCTGGTTTAGTCCTGGTTTAGTCCTGGTTTA